GGGAAGAGGGATCTTTATCCTTCAAATCAGAAACAGACCACCCTATGGCAGTCCCATGTTCCTTCAATACTTCAATTACCGCCTCCTTATTACCCAAGAAGGTATATTGCAGAGTTTCAAGAAGCTCCTTCAACTCTATTTTTGGGGCACCATCTTCTTTGTCAGAATCATTCTTTTCCTCAAGAACTTCAAATGCTACATTCTTTCCTTCCTTAACAGGTACACTCTCATGCGCCTCAAGTTCTTCATCAATCTCTTGACTAGAAGATTTTTCTTCTTTCCCCACTTGCTCTAAAATATCAAGTTTAAAACAATCGCCTTTGTCAGAAGATTGTTTCATAGAATCAAAGACGTTGATGGTAATTGTCTCATCATTCATCCTTAACTCAAGCTTTCCATTTTCAACATCAATATAGCCCGAGGAGTGGCCAAGAAAGGTCTACCCAGCAAAAGAGGCATCTCAGTTCCCCCTTCCATGTCCAACACTACAAAATCTGCCGGAAAGATGAACTTGTCCACTTTCACAAGAACATCTTCAATTATACCACTAGGTTTCCTTAAAGATTTTTCAGCGAGTTGCAAGGAAACCACAGTAGGTTTAAGCTCAGATATCCCCAACGATTTATACATGGACAAGGGCATCAGATTTATACTTGCCCCAAGATCACACAAGGCTTTGCCGACATCAGTATTACTAATAGCAATTGGGATGTTGAAGCTCCCTGGATCATTACGCTTAGGCGGAAACTTCTTTGGAATAATAGCACTACACTCCTCAGTGAGTGTCATCGTTTGGCATTCCTGCAACTTGTGATTTCTTGACAAAAGGTCCTTAATAAACTTGGCATAATTGGGCATATTAGCCAAGGCTTCAACAAATGGAATATTAATGTGAAGCTTTCTGAATATATCCATGAACCTTTCATAATGTTGCTTCTGGGAAACTTTCTTGAATCTTTCTGGATAAGGTGTCATGGCTCTCATGTACTCAGGTTTCAACTCATGCTTCTTTTTTGCTTTTTCTTTTTCAGCTGGCTTTACCACTTCAACAGGTTTCTTAATTTCTTTTTCAGGTTTTCCTGCAGGATCCAGCTTCTCTTCAACCTCCAGAGATGGCAGTACTTTACCACTTCTGGTTGTGATGACCATACAATCTTCTCTCAGATTAGTAACTATGTTGCTAGGGATGGTACCTGGAGGTCTATCAGCAATTTTCTTAGCCAGTTGGCCAATCTGATTCTCCAAATTTCTGATAGATGCATTTGTATTTTTGATATTGGCCCTAGTCTCTTCCATGAAAGCACTAGAATGTTGAGTCATTTGTCCAACTAACCTCTCCAAATCAGAAGGTTCCTTGGTTTGGATTGGTGGAGGCTGCAAGTAGTTGTTTGAATTGAAATCAAGACCTGTGCCTTGAATCTTTCGTTGATAATTACTACCTCCAGCAGCAAAATTTTGACCTTTTTGAACATTTTGCTACTGAGGTCTCTGATCATACCAAATGTCATTCACTTGCATTTTTTGAGGTGAATCCGAAGCCAACAAAGAAGAACATTCATTAGATTCATGGTTGCCCTGGCAATATTCACATACAGCAGCAACAGTTTGAGCCTGAACACCAGCAAGCTGCATCTTGTCAAGCCTTGAGGTCAAGTTTGCTATATGCTAACATAACAATTTGTTTTCAGCCAGCACCACATCATTACCTTCCAGCTGAAGGATACCTCTCTTAGGCTTGGATGACAAGCCTTCATTCTCATTCGCAGCCATCCTTTCGATCAACTCAAGAGTCTCATTTTCTCTTAGGGATTTGATCGTGCCACCTACTGCACCATTCAACACCATCCTCACCTCAGGTTTGCAACCATTGAAGAAGATTCTAACCTGATTACCAGCAGTCAAGTTATAATGAGGACACCTCCTCATTAAATCCTTGAACCGGTTCCATGCTGCACATATTGATTCACCCTCAGATTGAGTGAAATTGGTGATATCATTCACCATCTGGTTGTACCTCTCCATCGAGAAGAACTCAATAAAGAACTTCTGAGACAAATCATCCCATGTAGAAATGCTTGCTGTAGGCTGCCTTTCCAACCAACTAAGAGCCTTTCCCTTAAGAGAAAAAAGGAACAACCTCAACCGGATTGCATCATTCGACACCTGAGGGTGTTTGGTTGAGTCACAGATCCTCAAGAATCTGTCAATAAATCGGTGAGGATCTTCACTCTCCTCTCCTCCAAACTAAGCCCTCTCCACCAATTGAATATGGAAAGATTTGAGCTCCCAGTTGTTGTTTGCAACATTAGGCTGAATAATGCTCGAGTTGGGCCTGTTGAAAGATGGAGTGAGAATGGAATCCATGAATGAATTATCTGCATCATTATTTGTTGCCATGATTTGTGCTTCTTCAGACAGAATTCCTAACTCGTTGAATGCAAGCTTCTTCTAAGCAAGTTTTCTGTATCTTTTTTCAGTCCTTGTAATCTCCAAATCAAGTGGAAATTCTGGAATTTTACCTCGCATACAACTCAGAAAAGAGATTAGTAGCACTGTTCAAATATCACAAAAAAATAAAAATAAAAATAATAACAAAATCCAATCTTAAAGATCAAGATTATATGATATAAGAAACGCCAATCCCCGGCAACGACGCCAAAAACTTGTTGCTCACCGACAAGTATACCGATCACACAAGTAATTCAGTAATAAGAAAAGTATCGTCTCCACAGGGATTGGGCTCGAATATCAAATAATCGTGTGCTTTTAGAATGGAAGGATTCAAAAAGGTTGTGACAAATATTGTCGGTTTGAGTAAAAATAAGAACTTTAAAAGAAAAGACTTATTTTTGGCTTTTTGTTTATGGGAAAAAGAACAGAGATTGATTTTTGTAAATATGAGAAAGCATTATAGCTAGAGTACATTCACTGAATGATTCCCACTTCTTACTTTGGATTGATTTACAATACTTATTTATATAATTACTCAGATAAATTATTATCTAAAAATATTTAATAGTTAACCTCCGATTCCTTGCAAGGTTAACCCTTTAACCCCAATTCCTTGCAATGTTCCTCATGGCATTAAACAATGAACTCAATAATTTAAGCATCTGCAATTAAGTATACATATATTCCTAGCATGCATATAAATTGTTATCCTACCCCCTTTCAAGGTCAAAACCCCAATATTCCTATCTAGAGTTCTAACCCTCAAATTATCAACTATTAGATTGATCAGTTCTAATAAAGAAAATATAAAATACGCACAGGGAAGAAATAAAGATAATTTATATAAACGAGTAAATGTAAACTAATCCGTCGTAACAAGGGTTCACATAAGGTTTGTGACCCTAACTACAATAAAAAGAACTAGCCAACCATTATCATGGCTAAAAATTTAATATTCAACATACTTGATAAATGAGAAGACGAAGAATAATAAACTCTCTCTGAGCACAACCGTCGTCTCTGGTCTTCGGAATATGATTCCCCTTAATTCTGTAAAAGGCATCATATTTATACTCCTCTTTTCCTTCTTCCAAAAATACCCTCGTACAGCACGGTGCATCTTTCCCGCAAACCGGCGCCAGTTGGCGCCGGGGTGGCGCCACTACCAAAATTCGCCAATTCCCACAAAACTGGCGCCAGTTGGCGCCATTCAAAAAACACTGTGTAAAGTTCGAATATTGGCGCCATTGTGGCGCCACTGGGCGCCGCTTCTCTGCCAAAAAATGTGATTCTCTAAAAACCGGCGCCAGTTGGCGCCACTTCCAAGAGTCTGCTGCACAGTTCGTAAACTGGCGCGGGTTGGCGCCAGTGTCGAGCCATTTCACGCCATGTTGCTGGAATTTATACTGAGGATCACCTGTGTGGAGTTGCATCGAGTAGCTTTTTACATTTTTGTAGTTTTCACTTCTTCTACCTATTGAAACACAACCAATAGGTGAGAAATATTATTGACATAGAAAGAATCAATATAATAAGCAAATATGTATATAAATTTTTCTTTTATGACTCAATTCTTATCAATTTTAACTTAGAAAACTACACCTCCCAGAGGCACATCAAACCATTCCCAGATTTAAACGTTGCTCTCCCCAGCAATGTATAAGACTCAATCCATGACATATTCAATTAATCCAACATAACAATCCATAGACACTCTCAGACACAATATGTCATGCATGCCTGACCCAATATCATAAACTCCCAACAATGTCATCAGCTTTTTAAAGATACAAGTCTACATTAATTACCCCTCACATAGATAAATAATGTCCACTCAACACTCAATGCTTAAGGGTATTATAAGCACTCAATCAATCACAGCTAGCTATAACACTACCATAGGCTTATCAATTTTAACTTAGAAAACTATACCTCGTAAAAGACTGGACTCCTAATGTCGTTTGTCAATGTACTTGTGTGATATCATATACGCGGACTGCGTTCCTTAACCGTGAAATCTTAGTTGTTGGGCTTTTTGGACCTTTCATATATTGAGGCTTATATCCCATGTGGGATAAATATAGATCAATGAGAATTGTATGAATAAAAATAGGCAAGTTATTTAATAATGGTGATATGCAATCTCACTCTATTTTTACTCATTTTAATTAAAATCTTGAGTTTGAGAGTCTTGGAATATCTGTCCGATTGAGCTCAATTTGAATTTAATTAACTTGGAAGTCGGTTTAATTGTTTAAAAAAAATAAATATTAAACCAATTGGATAAAAAAATAAAAAATATTAGAAAAATATTGTTAACATTGAAAAAAAATGTGGCACTAGCTAGAAAAGACTAGTTGAAGTTGAAGTTGAAGGTGTTTCCATAACGGTGGTGACGCCTGTCCCAACCCCAACCTGCCACTTTATAAACACCACCTCCATCTTCCTCACACACCGACACCCCCTTTTTCAACTATATATCACTATCTTCATTATTCGCTTCCACCACCACTTCCTCTTTTATTCTCTTATTTTTGTGTACAAAACCATGCAACTTTTCACATCACCATCTCTTTGTTCTTACTTTTCTAATCAATTGCTTAATCCCCTTCTCATCATCATCATAATCATATCATTGCTTTTCTCTTCTTTGTTTCTTCTCCTTATTCCTTTCCTCCAATGGTGTCACCACCACAAGGACAAACGTTTACCTCCTGGTTCCATGGGTTGGCCTTACCTTGGAGAAACCCTCAACCTCTACTCTGAAAACCCAAATTCCTTCTTCTCCAATAGACAAAAACGGTATAAAAATATATACATATTCTCATGCACAAAAGCACATCAAATTATGTTATGTTATGTTATGTATATATATACTTGAATTTTTTATTGTTATTGTTTTGATGTGTCATATATGATTTATATACCAAGGTATGGAGATATATTCAAGACACACATACTTGGTTGTCCTTGTGTAATGATATCAAGCCCCGAAGCAGCTAGAATTGTGCTTGTGACACAAGCACATCTTTTCAAGCCAACATACCCTCCAAGCAAAGAGAGGATTATAGGACCAGAGGCTGTGTTCTTTCAACAAGGTGCTTATCACTCCATGCTCAAGAAGTTAGTTCAAGCCACATTTTTACCCTCTAGAATTAAGAATTCAGTCTCTGAGATAGACCAAATTGTTCAGAAAATGGTTCCAACTTGGGCCAACAGAACCATCAATACCTTGCAAGAGATGAAGAAGGTATGTTTATATCACATTACATATGTAGCAGCTATACTCATACAAACTATTATTATATTTATTTGACTCATTAAACATCAAGAATCTCAAGAAATTTTCTTCCCTTAGTATGCTTTTGAAGTAGCTGCAATCTCAGCCTTTGGTGAAATAAAGGATTTTGAAATGGAAGAAATCAGAGACATGTATTGTTGCTTGGAGAAGGGCTACAACTCTTACCCTTTACATCTTCCTGGAACTTCCTATTGGAAAGCAATGAAGGTAATATATATATATTTCTTTTTTTTTTTTTATACATTATATATATATATATATATATATATATATATTTCAATTTATATAGTTTGTGCAATTATATATGTTTAATTAATTAGGACATATAATTAATTATGTTCAACTATATATACTTATGTGCTTTAAAAGATTTATTTTGATAAGACATTGCTTTCTTAGTTATTCATTTATTGGTTAAAAATATAAATGAAGGCAAGGAAGGTTCTGAATGAGACAATAAGGAGGTTAATACAAAGAAGAAAAGAAAGCAGGAACTATGGTGGAGGGTTGTTGGGAGTTCTGTTACAAGCCAGAGGTCACAAGATATACCAACTCAATGATTCTCAAGTTGCTGATAATCTCATTGGTGTAATCTTTGCTGCACATGATACCACAGCAAGTGCTCTAACATGGGTTCTAAAGTACTTGCACGACAATTTCAATGCCTTGGAAGCTGTGACAGTTATACAATCTCTCTCTCTCTCTCTCTTTCTTGAATTTTTCTCCTACTCCTGATTTTGTTTCTTAATGTTCCCTGTAAATTGCAATTGTTGCAGAGAGAACATGAAGGAATCAAAAGCAAATTAGCTATGGAAAATCGTGGACTTTCATGGGATGATACTAGGCATATGCCACTCACTACACGGGTATATTAATTAACTATTACTTAATTTCTTTCATTTTGTTATATGTATAAGTTTTTGTTTTTAAAAATATATAATATATAAGTTGGTTTTAGTCAACATCAATTTAGTTTTCAAATGAAAAAATAATGTCATCAATTTTTTCCACTAAAAAATTGCTTTGAAAGCATTAATTGAAATTGACCAATTTGATGTTATTATAAATAGAGAAATGAAATAACGAGTAAATATTCTTTTTGTTCCTTAACAAATTTCACGATGCCCGCTTTAGTCTCTAGCAAATAAAAAGGTTATACGTGGTTCCTAAAAAATTTAAAATGGACTCATTTAGTTGAAATTGTAGTCCCTCACAAATTCAAAAAAGATCCACATTAATCTCTGAAAAGGACTAAAATGAGTCTACTTTGAATTTCTTAAAAACCACGAATAGCCTTTTTATTTGTTAGGGACTAAAACGGGTATCATAAAATTTGATGAAGAACGAAAAATGTATTTACTTTTAATTAATACGATATAAAGGTATATCTTTGGTGAATGAAATATTGGACATGTACATGTTTTTTTTCCTTTTTTCTTTGTGGTGAAGTATCGTTATGAAAACTTGAACTACTCATGGTTGAGATATGATGCAATTAAAATGAGTTCAGGTTATCCAAGAAACATTAAGAAGCGCAAGCATACTGTCATTCACATTCAGAGAAGCAGTAAGAGATGTTGAGCTTGAAGGTTACACTATTCCTAAAGGTTGGAAGGTCCTTCCACTCTTTAGAAGCATTCATCATTCTGCTGATTTCTTCCCTCAACCAGAGAAGTTCGACCCTTCAAGATTTGAGGTTAAATATCCCTTAATCTAACTCCATAGATACGTACGTGTACACAAAATGTAAATGAATAAAAAATAATAATAACAATCCATGTAACTAGAAGATTTCAGGACCAACGGTTATATTTTATCTTTTATGTCAGAAACATAAGGTTATAAATGGTTAGATTATCCTGTGGTAAAGTCCCTTTCATTCCAATTTGAATCTTACCACATTTAGATGATTCTGTGTTTTTTCAATCTTGCTAGTATCAGAGCATGTGATCTAAATTTGTAGGCTAGTAGAATAATATTAATTTCTCTATCCTTTGTGTTCAACAATACCAGTTATATATATAGTACTATATATAAGATATTAAACAAGAGGTGTTAAAAGAGATATGGTGTTGACTTAGTTTTATGTGATGATGCAAGGTGCCACCAAGACCAAACACATACATGCCATTTGGAAATGGAATCCACTCTTGTCCTGGTAGTGAGCTAGCTAAGCTTGAGGTTCTTGTCCTTCTCCACCACCTCACAGTTTCTTACAGGTACATAATATTTATCTATGTGATATTAGAGGGGGGTTATATTGACAAATTTTTTTTCTTACAAACTTAGAAACGACACTAAGTCCGACTAGTCAGACTTAGTATAGTTTGTAAGTTTGTAAGAAAAAAATTTCTCAATATAACCCCTCCCGTGATATTATAGTCACTAAGTTCATTATAGCAAACTAATGCTAAGATAAATAGTTGTCGCAACTCACAAACAAGAACTATAGTAGGCATGATTCTATTATTACAATAAGAATAGTATGCATCTTGCATGAACTTTTTGCAAAACTAGTTTGTTTGCTACTCAAGATCTCTCAATTGACCATTAGAAGATTGATTGATAATGGTGGTCCTATTTAGTGGGGGTGTTCCTTAAGATGTGGAAGTGGTCCTTCATGAAGTATAATGAACATAGGGTTCTTTTTTAGAATATGTATATTTCAATACATTATAGCTAGTGAACAAGTGAGTAGGATCTTATCAATAATCATGTATTTCATACGTATACGTGGAAAACATGCATGGTATTGTCGCCTAACGTATTCATAATACTATTTCACTTGTAATTTGCTAAGTTGTCATACTACATTCTATAAATGGAGGGTCTTGCTAAATATAAATATGGATTCAAGAGTTAGAAATTAATCTTCAATTATAAACACAATTTAAAATGCAAAAAGTGTGTGTGTATAAATACAACAGTAATTCTATTATAATTTTGAGTTTTTGAAATCATTTTGTCTCATATAAAAAAGCTATGACTAAGATATTAATGACTATATCAAACAAATTCATAAACTATATTTAAAAAAAAAAGCTATATTTTATATTTAGTAATGTAATTAAAGATATAATAATAACCATTACTTTAGTTTTCTTCATAGTTTTATTATTAATATATATAGTTTCTTACTATAAAATGTGATGTCAATGTAATCTATAAAAAAAATTGACATTAATCATCAATTTAATCTCTTAATCCTACAATATTTATATTAATTTAGTCCTTAACCACACAAAATTGTATTAATATAGTTAATTAGTCTTGTAGTGAGCAACTGAAGGAACCATTTTAATTTTTTTTTTTTTTTAAAAAGCTAAATTAATGTATAATTTTTTTAAAAATTAAAATAATAACACTTATATTATTTCAAAGAAATAAAAAGGGTTTACTCAAAAAAGAAAAGCCTCCTCTTCCTGTAGCCACTTAATCATTGAGTGTGACTGTAGACTGATCCCTATTACTATCTTGGCCAATCAAGTTTAATTGTCCTTTAGTTACACAAGCAAACTTGGTCCAGAATTACTCAAAACTTCACGGTACTGTAGACGTTAAGAATGATCCCAACAATAAACAAACTGAGCAAGAAGTTTTCTAAGTTACAATATTAGGCTTCATATTCATCGAATATTAGATTTGGTAATAGGAAATTGTTAAGAGATAAAAAATAATTTCTCGAGTCCATCTCAAACCTTTAAACTTTCAGAAAATTTAGTTTTGAACATGCTTGAACCTAATAGTTTGAATTTTAGAGAAGTTAGTCTTTAATATGAGTTTGTGTATATAACCAACTATCCATTTTATTAACTTTTAGACAACTTTTTAAGTATTTAAAATTAAAAAGAATTAAATAAAAAAGTAAAACTTCTTAGGTTTTTTTTTTTTTTTGGTAAACAAAAAAAACTTCTTAGGTTTTAATATATTGAATACTGTATTTTTATTAGATATATTTTATTTTTCAATTCTTTAACAAATTAATTAAGACACTCGTTATCATAACTTTTTTAAGAAAGTTAGTTTTTTTTTTGAAACTGATCCTAATTACCTCTTTGAGGCGAATCAGAACCCCCAGTATCCCCACGGGTTTGACTCTTTGAGCCGCCTATAGGACTAATCCAGAGTTCGGATGCGGGTCCAAGGATTACGGTACTTATGCCCCTCGAAAGTTAGTTTTTAATATGATATTATGCAAACTTTCATAGCAAACAATAGGAATAATTATCACAAAAATAAAATGAACATATACATATTGCATGTCCTTATTGTCTTCCAACCAAAAAAGATCTTGTATGAGAATATGCATCAAATATTTAAAATCATTCTTAGACTTCATGCATGAAAGAATACATTTCTATTTATATATGGGTTTTATGATTCTCATGTTGAAGGAGAATTAAAATCTCATGTTATAGAGATAAAAAATATGTGGGACTCATGTGTTAGAAAAAATTATATGTAGGACTCATGTCAGCACGAAAATCGAAGGGTGTATAGGAAAATTATAATTCTCATGTTAAATGAGAATTATAAAACCCATTATATATCCAAGTGAATCACAATAATTTTTTTTTTTGGAAACATGAATCACAATAAAATTAGTCCACGCAATTTGCCAGCTTGATCAAATGACAGGAACACATGTGGATAGCTGCCACTGCCTGCTCTAAAAACCAAGACAAATTCTATATATGTTCTAAGCAGTCAAATTTCAAGAAATCAAGTTTTACCCAACACCACATGTAGCTCTGCACAATTGCACACCACATCATACATTTCACCTTGTCCTCTTCACAGATATTATTTTGAACGTGACCCTTACCCACCTATTCATTTTGCTCTTACATTTGACACACTGTGACTACTGATTAGTCGAAGAATGTTAGAGTATTCCATGCCTACATTAGTCCCATCTCATTGACAAGATGCATTGTGTCAATGGGGTATTGTGTAATCATATAAAACCAAAGAAAAAATAATATAGAATATAAGTTTTCTTGTCAAATTTAGTTATTGGGATTTGATTTTCTCATGTTGAATGAATGAGAATTCAATTCTCATGTTGTAGAGACAAAAAGCATGTGGGACTTATGTGTTAGAAAATATTATATATAAGATCCATGTCAGTACGAAAATCGAAGGATGTGTAAGAAAATTATAATTCTCATGTTGAATGAGAATTATAAAACCCATTATTTAGGAATTGATAAAAATATATATTTTATGACATCAATTCTGATGATGTGGAAAACTATGGACTATAAAATCAATGTTTTGCCAAAAGGGTCAATTTTTCAAACAGGTTATGTCAAATTTGTACTTATCCTTGTTTTGATGGTTGTTTTAGGTGGCATGTTGTGGGAAACGAAGATGGAATACAGTATAGTCCTTTTCCTGTGCCCAAACATGGATTACCAGTTAAGATAACCCCGAGGAACAAGATATTTATCTAAAGTTGCAAATTTCAGACCCATGGAGAGTTCAAATCATGTTAAGAAAGTGGGGCCAAAGTGATTTGTCCCCCGCCAAGATAATCAATTTTCTTTTTCCTTTTCTTTTGTCCTAGAGATTCTTTTCCCATGTATATAGACCTTATATGGAATGAATCTAGCATGACCAATATCTATGTAAATAGTATGTACGTGCAGACAAAAAATTGTAATAAATTAAATATTTTCAAAATTAAAATATGTAAATGCTGCATAATTAAATTGATATGTAAATTCCGAAAAAAATAAAATGGGTTTCTCATATCTCATTTAATATGATTAGATCTTGTTAGTTGTTGTCTTGTTGATATGTTTTTTTTTTTTTTTCACTTTCTATCCTAACACTTCTCTCTCATCTTGAATCATTATTGATTTAACTATAAATAATTAAATAATCTAACCCCAAGGATATTCGTTTGATAACGGAGCTCCCAAAGTTTATTTGGGGTTTAGGTTCAAATTTTGTCTCAAGTAAATATTTGAAAAATCTTTGGGATCAAAGGATGTGCATCTCTCCTCGATAAGGGATTAGTCTCATCCTTCCTTCGGTGGAGTAGCCTAATGCACCGTTGTTTCAATGGAGTAGCTTTTAAAACCGTACTCTGAGAATGATCGAAGGGGGTTAAATGAAGATACCTCAAGGTTATATTAAAATAATAATAATAATAATTAAATAGTCTTACATAAAGTCACTGAGAAAATTTATTTTCCACTTAATTTGATTCTAGTGCCAAAAAAATGTTTTTTTTTTTGTAATAACCAAAAAAATGTTTTGACTCAATATGGTTGTGGATAAGGTATAGTGTTATTGGCTTTTATGGTAATAACCTATGCAAAAACTTGATTAGGCGAGACCAAGATACCGTTGATCCCACAAAGTAGCTAAGGGTACTATACGTGGCATGAGTAGGTTGAAGATGCCATAACTACACGTGGACAGTGTTTCAGCACCCAAAGGTAGCATGCGTGGCTAACTTATCATGTTGTAAAGGATTCGTTGCATGTGGATTTCCCTGACAAAATCCTAAACATGTTAATTTATTTCTTGTCATTCCATGGGGAAAAAAAATAGTTTTGTTTAACTAGAAATCAACTCTCCACATACATATTGTATGGACACAAATCATCCTCCAATTATTTTCTGAACAGATGTTATGCTCTGTCTCATATTAACATTCATGATAAGCTATGGAAGATCCATGATTTTCTCACAACCTCGACCCTTTGCATTTTCAATTATTTTTGTGGATATCTTCTTCGGACAACTAATTATGAGGTTCAATCAAATCAATTTGTTCTTACATTAAGCACCATGCACATTGTCTACTCATATGAAGATGTAGGTTGTAATTAACAAGGCAAAAGGAGGACAATATATTCCTTCATTGTGCTACAACACTATTACTTAGAGTTACACTTGTTTTACATAATGGTACTGTTGAAGTTCAAATTTATAATTTTATGTAAATTACCCAAAATTTTTATTACTGTATCAATTTTAATGGCTTCGAAAAGTAATGCTAAATACACATATACTTAATAGTACTTGTCATTGGCTGATGAATATCGCATCTATTTAATCAAGGAATTTATGATGGAGATTTTAATAAGTATAAATTAAGTCACTAGGATTAGTCTAGTAGTAAGAGATTTGAGTAGATTGTATTAAGTTATGCGTTCAATTTTTACCAGTATCTAAAAAAAAAGTATAAATTGTTAAGTGATTAATAATAAGTAAATCATTAGTTAAAAAAAATTGATTGTTAGTTAATAAAAAAGATGTACTGTAATAGGTGTGAAAGTGTGGGTAGATAAATATTAATTTTTTGTCATAAATAGTACAATCAAAGGAGATTTCGTCCTGTCAAATTATGCTTGAGAAAGTATAACTCTAAAATCCCAAAAAATTATTTCAAATTTTGGGAAAATGAATCGATTCAAAAAGGGTTATCAACCAGAAAAACTGGTCATGTAAAAAAATTCCATTCACACTAGAGGTCTTTTTGGACTAAAATTCTGGGCCACTATTATTTTTCGAGGTACCGAAGGACTACGTTTCGAAAAAGGTTTTTTTTTTTTTTTTTTTTGTTCTTTTGGGATTTCATAATAGGTAAAATAATTATATATTATAATTTAAATAAGAAAATACAAAAATCTAGCAATTTGAAATCTATTTACGAATTTATAACAAGAAGTTGTGTCCAAATCCATGCGTTCACTACAACAAAAATGGTATTTAGCACTGATTTTATTTTGGATTTAGCAATGGTTCAAACCACCATTAAAAAATCAGTAGCCAATTGAAAACCAATATAGGAAATGTGACGTTAAATAATTTAGCGACGATTCACATAAATCGTCAGAACAACTGACACGAAAAAAAGCGACGCTGAATGTATATAAACCACCATCAATTATTAGAAAAAAAATAAATCATTTTTTATAGCGACGGTTTAGAACCGCCACTGGTGTTCAGTGACCGTGGTGTTGCCTTGGGTCTGCATTTTCAATCTCCATTTGTTCCAGCTCCAAATATTTCTTGGATCGTGTAGTAAACTCAACTAGAGTTCGTACTGGGTCTTTGTACACGGATTTAGCTAACCTGGAGGAGCCGTGTAGTCCGGCAATCACTAAATGTAGATGAATGTTTTCAGATAACCTGGAAACTTGTAAGGCGGCCATTTTGAAGCGGTCTAAATACTTTTGCAAAGTTTCACCAGGCTGTTGTTTTATTTTCCCCAGTGCAAACTCGGACTTCAGCTGTTTTTTGCTAGTAGCAAAATTCAGCAAGAATCTACCTCTGAATTCTTCAAAAGATCTAATGGATCCCGCCGGTAGAGATAAAAACCATGTCTGAGTTGCTCTCGTCAGCGTAGTTGCAAATAGCCGGGTTATTTGCGGTTCTTCAATTCCCTTAATGTACATTGCCGTATCAAAAGCATCCAAATGCACTTGGGGGTCTTGCGTCCCATCATATTTTGAAATTTCAGATAAGTTGAGGTTTTCTAGAAATGGTGCATCCACGATCTCGTCCACGAAGGGGCTATGATTGTATTGTCCCCTGTGATACTTCCTCCTATAAACCCCTGACACGTCGTTCGGGTTCTAGTTCCGGGATGGGCGTCTCCCATCTGAAGACTGGGGATTCTCTCTCAGCCTTTCTGGTTGCCCTTCGTGAACCTCGGGTACTTGGTTGCGAACCACATTGGGGATGCTTCCTTGAGGCCGGCCTTCGTCGTTCCCAGCGTTTCTCGCTTGAGTCCGGGTTCTATCAGCGTTCGCTTGGGTGCTTGTGATCCTCAGGTCATTCATAACCCGAGTTATGGCTTTTTGACCCTTATGACCCTTAATAAGTAATTAATTACCAATTTGCCCTTCATTTGAAACTAATTCGAAAATTTAACCCCCCTCAAAAACATAACACCAATCTGCCCCTGTTTGACCGTTGACCACGAAGCCTACCCGGGTACACTCCTTCCTACCCGGGTATTTTTTGAAAAATTTTATCTACCCGAGTAGGTAGGGATGTACCCCGGGTATAGTTCTTAAATCTGAGAATTTGTTTGAATTATTTACCCGGGTAGGGAGGAGTGTACCCGGGTAAAAACATAAATATATATAAATATAACATGGAAAAATACCTCTTTTTGAGTGACATTCACAGTTACTAGTTTGATTGTATCGAAGTCTTTGGATCCAAGATTTATAGGTAGACAAACAGAGTTTTGAAAATCATCAGGCTTCACCTTAAGGTCATCTGAAATAATAAAAGTTGCCGTTTCTTGAACAAACCCTTCATTTGCTGGTGAACTACGATGAAATATCTCTCGATTCATTGGTTTCCCACATATGCATCTTTTATTGCGCGCCCCCATGGGTAAAAAAACTCTTAGGATGTTGAACCAGAAAATAATAATATTTGTGAATTGAAAATCAAACGTCACTAATCACTTTGAGTGGGATTTATCTTTAGTATAATAAAAAATCTCACCAATGACAGAGCCCTATGTAAGATAGCAAATTATATGGAAAAAAAAACACAATAATCGGGTTACAAAAACATTACTTTAGGTGGTGACGTCGAATATTTTGTTGCGAATAAATGAGAAAGACATTATTTCTTTTTTAGTTTTGCAAATAAGAAAGACACTATTTCTAGCGCCCTTTTACAAGACGAAACGTCAATAAAATTAACGTTACAATTGATGTTGGCGGTGGCGGTTTGTATTAAGTTGACGTCACTTTTATCAGATTCAATGTTACGCTTAATTAGTATTAAATGTTACTTTTAAATTAGTGCAGTTTTAATGCCAGCCATCCATCCTCAAGCATGTTCCCGAATTAAAAAGAAACGAATTCCAATATTAACGTTAAATCTGCATAGAAGGGCAATTGTGATTTTCGAGATGCATGCGCTGTTCAAAGTTTTCAGAAGCTTGATGCTGAATTAAATCGGTATGTAATTTCTTTCAAGTGAAATATCGTACCCGGGTACACTCCTCCCTACCCGGGTAAATAATTCAAATAAATTCCCAGATTCGAGAACTATACCCGGGTACACCCCTACTTACCCGGGTAGATAAAATTTTTCAAAAAATACCCGGGTAGGAAGGAGTGTACCCGGGTAGGCTTCGTAGTTAACGGTCAAACAGGGGCAGATTGGTGTTATGTTTTTGAGGGGGGTTAAATTTTCGAATTAGTTTCAAATGAAGGACAAATTGGTAAATAATTATTTATTAAGGGTCATAAGGGTCAAAAAGCCCCCGGGTTATAGCTCGTTCCGGATTCGGGTTAGTGGCTCGACCTACTCGAGCCTCCAACTCTCGCATCTGTCTGGAACCTTCCTCCCTTTCAAGCCCGTGCCTTCGCTCCATCTCTTCCATTCTCCGAAATACCGCGGCAACAGCCAGATCTGTCACCCGAGAACACCAACTGCACCATTTGGTACTTGTACAGCATCCGCCACTTGTTCCTCCATTGGTTGTAAGCCTTACACGTATGGGGCGTCCGGATTGATGGCTGAGGTTGATGCCGAATCGGAGTGCACATCACTAACATACACTGCATCAGTATCTATCCGCCGATGATCCAAAGGATCTTCCCTGATTTGAGAAACAGGCTGGTGTCTGGAATTCGATCTTGCTGGTTGCCGAAACCCACTTCTTGTTGTCCTCACCATCGCGGCCTTTGATCACGTAATAGTAGGAAAAATTTCCCCACAGACGGCGCCAATGTTCTGCCTGAGGCAGAGATGTCCGACCGTTGGTCGGGTGATTTATGTTGGATCTAGTGCTTTCTCTCTAGATACCTATCAGTTAGGTATCTGGGGGACAGCGAATCACTACACACTTATACGATGGCCTTAGCCAGAGGGGGTGTGTGTGTGCACTGTCGTGGTTGCGTAAAATAGGGTTAGAGAGATCAATCATACCTGTGATCTTTAGCTCCTATTTATAGGGCTTACCTGTGGGCTTATACTGATTGGGCTTCTTGTAGGCATGGGCCTTTCCCAGGTCCATAATGTAAGAACCCGCACCGTTAATTAAGGAATTTAATTAATAAATAATGAGAAAATAGGAAATGATTCCATAATTGACCCTAATAATTATTATGAGGCTTTAATAATTATAGTAAGTGAGTAATAATGCTGAAAGTCGCTCTTCGGAAGAAAAGTGCAGATACCGGTTCTGCTAGTCGGTATAAATACGTACCGAAAAGTATACTGGAAATTTATAATAAGTGCATGATAATTACTAGAATAAAATGTAAGACTTGTAAAACGAGTTTCAAGTCAAAATAATGAGAACTGGTGCCAGAAACCGGTACTGGCTATGAAAAACGCGTACCGAAAAAGTGCTCCGAAAATTATAAGAAAAATATGATAATTCTTGTAAAATTGAGTAGGTTAATAATCCTAAGTTTGGGATTAAAATTCTAAGCGTAGAAATTAAAGCTAATACTGTGTGTTTAATGAGTAAGTGACTATAAATACTCCATTTAAGGGCACACAACCCTAGGAAACAGATTTTTGAGCGTGAGGTTTTGAGGTGGCTGACCATCCTTGGCCTTCTTCTCTTGAGTTTTCAAACCTTGAAGCTTTTCCTTTGAATTTCTTCACACACTATCTTGGGGAAACACTTGGGTGTGTGGTTGGTGATGATAAAGGGACCATTCTCTGAGTGTTGGTGGCTGTGTTGAGCTTGTGAGGGGGCTGAGTTAGTGGGTTGGAGTGTTGTGGCTTTTTTCTTGGTTGTTGAAGCTCCAAGTGGTCATCTTTGTGAAGAAAGGAATCACCTTGTTGTGCATTTTCGTGCACTCTTCTAAGTCAGAGTTTGGGAGCTGGTTGTGAGCTCCAAGAGCAACCCTTTGCCTCTGTTTTAGACTTTGGTGAGTTATACCAACCTTGATCATGTGTTTTGTTGAGTAAAAGAGGTGACTTTGCATGTTTAATGAGTTAAACAAGTAACCAACAGTGATATGACCCTCAAACAGTATAAAGATGCATGATTTAACGTTTGAAAGTGTTAAAAATGGAACCTTGGAAGGATATCTTCGCGAAATGCAAAAACTGCATTCTGTCGCGAAATATTTGGATATTTGTCGTGCAATATCCGGATATTGATATCCGGATATTGATATCCGGATATGGGGATCTGGATATCCGGATATTGCCAGAGTGATATCCGGATATTGGATATCCGGATATTGCCTGTGAGATCTCCGGATATTAGATATCCGGATATGTCCCCGAGGAATATCCGGATATTCTGGGTTTGCAAGGAACAGTAGCGTACTGTTCATCTAGAACTGATCTATGGGTTTGTGGACCCTAGTTTGAGGAAGTTGAACTTCTGCAATTAATTAATGTAAGTCAGAATCATATGATTAAGGGCTTATGGCTTGGTGAGAAGCCTTAATACGTAAAACGTAAAGGAAAGGCGTTGTCTTAATATTGTATGCTTGCGGTGCATGTTATTGATATATTGTTGGTCCATAATAGATTGTGAATCTACTGTGTTTGAACTTTGAGCTGTGGACTCTTGGCTTTGGGTGTTAGCTTGTAAGGTAAGCTTTCGTATCCTCAGTTTAGCCATATTTTGGTTCCACCATGTCCTATGGGGGTATGGTTATATGCATGCTGTGTTACATGCTTTGAGATATATGAATTGTTGTTGAGCTTTATGTGTTAATGGCTTTTAATATGCATGTGTTGTTCCATCTTGACGGTAAGCTTGAGTATGTGGCGTCATACAATACGGTGATCCGGGGTGGATACAAGCGGCGTCTTGTACTTATTGTGGGGTTGTAGACGTACATCCTGCATTTCTCTGGCCAGTAGATTAGTATTGACACACATGACATGATTATCTGCTGCATTGCACTGATTTAGAACTGATGATGATAAACTTCTTTTGAACTTATATTGCACATGTAAGTGAGCTTGGGGTGGAAGATCCTTGAGGACCCCTTGTCTTACTGAGATTTCTTGTTTAGAGATCTCACCCCACGTTTGGGGAATGCTTATTTCAGGTTCAGGTAGTATGGTGATTGATGCCTCTGACGGCAGGAGGCCAGAGCTTAGTTGATGATTTTTACTGCTTATTTGCTAGCATGACTGGGCTGGATGCTGTTTATGTTTTCCGTATCATTATTATTATATTGTTGATGTTGAGACTTATGTTGGGCGTTGTTGCCTCATTTGGGTGAGCATGGGAGTTGTCCATGCCACTATGTTATTAGTACTGTTGAGTTGAGTTGTATAAACTGATAGTTGGTCCGGTCTACGTGTTGTAGTTCCATGACTAGAGACATACTTTATGTTGTTTTAATTAATGAGGTATTTCAGTTAGCTGTTTTATTGCAATTGCATACAGGCGATGTTTTATTAATTGGTTAATAAGCAAGTTGGTAATGATAATGACTTCATAATTGAAAAGAAAAAGATATTCCGCATTTTTTATTAAGCGCAGCTTAATACGATAGTATGATAACATCTATATCTATATATATAAAGGAGAGTTCACTGCTGGAAAGTTTTGCCAAGTGTCACTCCCTGGTTAATTCTATAATTTGGTTATATACAAACTTTCTTTATTGGGTAAATTGGGAAAAAAAAACTCTTTGAAAAATTGAATTTTAATTTTTAAATCGAATAATAGTTGCAGACAAGGCGTTGAATGTCCCACTGCCCATCACATTGGTATCCAAAAAAAATTAGCTGTTTTAATTGCTTTTTATGTTGGAATTGGTCATCTCATCTGAAATTCGAAATTTTAAATGGTTTATCAATTAAATTTCGAAATTATGTATTTATTTTGAACAATCTGAAATTCGAAATTTTAAATTCAATAAAAAGAAAACTCTATCAGATAAAATAAATTAGATAAACAGGTGTTTTAATTGCTTTTTATGTTGGAATTGGTCGTCAGATCTGAAATTCGAAATTTTAAATGGTTTAAAATTTTGAATTTAAATATGGATGGTGGGAAAAGAATTTCTTTTAAAAATCGAATTTTAATTTTTAAATTGAATAATTAAATGACCGTTTGTGGTGGCAGATATAAAAGAATAATTAATTAATAAATATGATTTTGAAATTCGAAATTTTAATTGGATAATCAAGTGTTTTAATTGCATTTTATGTTGGAATTGGTCGTCTGATCTGAAATTCAAAATTTGAAATGGTTTAAAATTTTGAATTTAAATATGGATAGAACACTTAGAGATGTTCTTAGCTGTGTTGATATGCCCTTTGGTGGAAAAGTTGTCGTTCTAGGAGGTGACTTTCGGCAAATATTACCTGTCATTCCAAATGGCAGTAGACAAGATATAGTTCATGCAACCATCAATTCTTCCTATCTATGGTCCCATTGTCATCTGTTATCTTTGACCAAGAACATGCGTCTCAATTCTGGAAGTAGCACTAATAATTTGTTGGAAATAAAAGAATTTTCTGAGTGGCTGCTTAAAATAGGAGATGGTGATCTTGGGGATGATGTTGATGGAGAATCTATTATAACAATTCCAGATGAATTGTTGATCAAAGGTTCAGAAGACCCACTTTCAGATATTGTTGATTTTGTTTACCCGAATCTGATGGATAATATATTAGATCCTACTTTCTTTAAAGAACGTGCTCTTCTGACTCCTAAATTGTCCGATGTTGCCATGTTAAACGAGCACCTAATGGCTATGATTCCGGGTGAAGAAAGGACATTATTGAGTTCAAATAAGGTTTTGAAACAAGACGATAATTCATCTCTTGAGGATGACGAAATCTCCCCTGATATCTTAAATACATTCTCATGTTCGGGGATTCCTTATCATAAATTAACTTTGAAGGTTAAAGTACCGGTGATGCTATTGAGAAATATTGATCAATCAAGAGGTTTATGCAACGGTACGAGATTACTTATTACAAAGTTGGGGAATCATGTTGTTTAGCCAATTGTTCTTACAAGAAACAATATAGGAGATACTGTGTTAATCCCTAGAATGACGATCAGCCCATCGGGTCATACATTTCCAGTAAACTTCCAAAGAAGACAATTCCCCTTGGTAGTTTCGTTTGCGATGACTATCAACAAAAGTCAAGGACAGTCGCTGTCTCATGTTGGCATTTATCTTCCTAGGTCTGTCTTCACTCATGGGCAATTATATATGGCACTATCTAGAGTAAAGAGCAGACATGGATTGAAGATGCTGATACTTGATGAAAATGGTTGCGTTACAAATACTACCTTTAACATCGTTTACAAAGAAGTATTTCAAAGATTAGTGTAGTATACTTGGTTATTTCTACAAAGAGCTAACATTGTTGTTTGGTATCAGGTAAGATCTCAATTTTTTATTAGAAAATATTTTTTAATCTTCTTTGTTGATTTCCTTTAGTTGTTATGCCTATTTTTCTGCTAATTTTTTATTGTTATGCAGATTCAGTATTCGAGGCACATTCAGTATATTATTCCCTTGTCATTTTTCAGAGTCAAAGGATTTTCATTGTAATTCTGAATTATTCATCTGCCTGAACTATATAATTCCCTTCAATAATTTTTTTTTTCCAAATATTGTTTATATATTGTTTATGATTCATTTCGAACAGCAGCAAATACCAATAGTGCATGGAGGACGATATTTTACAACTGTTGTGAGTATCGGTTGGGCATATTTCTTATTATATTGCTGTCAACATGACATTTATATATTTTTAATGGAGATTTTGCTGTCAACCATGGAATTTACTGTGTTTAAATTATTATATTCTTTTTTTGTTCCTACCTTAAAAGTTACACGTTTATGTCTATGAACAAACCGATTTTCTTATTAATTCGTTTACGGGACAAACAAATCGATTTTTTTTTCTCCGTGCATCGCACGGGTAATCAACTAGTTACCAGATATATACGGGGTGTTACATTAATGGTATCAGAGCAATGGTTCGAGGGAAACTCATGTATGTATTGCAATAGCTAGAATGTTTGGTTGTGTCTGTCTTGTGTGTTTACTCCGTCGAATTTTATTATGATAATGCATATGTAATCACATTGCGTGTGCCTGATCAACTCATAATCTGTGTAACTTGTGCAAAGTCATGGTAAGGTCCGGGAGAACACGATAGACTTCTGAGGATCAATCCGATCCTATCCTGACTGCATTGGCTGAGATGCAGGCGGCTAGGTTAGCCGATCAGGAGGCCACTAGATTGGCCAACGCGGCAATGATGGATACTGTTTGCGAGGCGAATCGGATAGCCGCAGAGGAGGTTCGTGAAGCGAACCGGAGGACCACTGAGGATGTCCTCGAGGCGAACAGGATGGAAAACATGACGATGATGAGAGTCATGTTGGAGGAGATGAGGGTTGGTCCTGTTGTAGGTCAGTTTCCACCGCCACCATCGCCTCCGCCTCCACCTAGTGTTCAGGATGAGAGCCTGAGTCACATTGGCAGTGCTGCTCATGTCGCTGAGACGAGGGAGACTCTTGTAGAGCCTGCTGAGGATCGTGATGTGATAGATCGCCGGCTGAATGCTTTCAGGAAGCATAAGCCACCTGTGTTTGAAGGGTCTTTGGATCCTATTGCTGCGGCGAGATGGCTGGAGTCGCTGGACAAGATATTTCGGGTCATGCAGTGTACAGACCCACAGAAGCTGATGTTCTCGACTTACATGCTGGAGGGCGATGCCCATGAGTGGTGGACGAACACCTTTCGTGCTTATGAGATGCAGGGTCGTGTTTTGACGTGGCCATTCTTTGAGGAATGCTTCTTGAGCAGATACTTTCCCTACGATGCGCAGGAAAGGAAGCAGGGGGAGTTTGATAGATTGGTTCAGGGCTCGATAACTGCTGACGAGTACCTGGCCAAGTTCAATGAGCTTGTGAAGTTTGCGCACTTCCGGATGGTTCCTCCTACTCCGATGTTTTTGGCTGCTAAGTTCCGCAGAGGACTTAGTGAGGTGATTGTTGAGTATATTGCTGGACCTGCTTCGAGGGATTTTGGTACACTGGTTCAGCAGCGTAAGGACATTGAGGATGTCTGCATAGCGAGCAAGGCCAAGAGGGCCAAGGTCGACGAGACCAAGGGGACTGTTAGTTCCACTCCTGCTCCTACTTCATGGAAGGACAGGAAGTTTGCTTGGAAGGGCAACGGTAAATAGTTGGCGACTAGGCAGGCGCCTGGTCAGTTCAAGAGGACTGCTTCACAGCAGGGGAGTTTTGCAGGCCTCCTTCCACTCCGAGATGTACGGGGTGCGGAAAGAAGCATGCTGGTCGTTGTGCTTCGGGTCAGTTGATCTGTTTCCAGTGTGGCAAGGAAGGCCACTTCTCTAGAGACTGTCCGTCGTCGACGGCGAAAGCTGCAGCTGTTCAAGCAGTTCCTTTGCAGATGGTTTCGATGGCTTCTACTTCGGCACCTGCGGTGCCACCTTCTGTTGGGCGTGTGTACACCTTGGATAGGCAGCAGTCGGACCGCGCTCTGAACCTTGATAGAGGTACTGTGTCTATTGGTGGTATTGTTGTTGATGCATTGTTTGATTCTGGGGCTACGCATTCGTTTGTTGCTACCCCGATTACTTTAGGGCTGGAGTTGCCCATGTCTGTGCTTTCTCCACCGTTGCGGGTGACTACCGCCACCGGAGAAATTTGTGATTCTACACTGTACATCGCGATGTAGCGTTCCAGTGGGATGGCCGTGAGTTCTCGGTAGATCTGATAGGGTTGCCGATGGCCAACTTGGAGATTATTTTGGGCATGGATTGGTTGTCTAGAAATTGTGCACTGATTGATTGCTGTGCAAAGCGCGTGGTGATGTCTCAGTGTGATTCCACAGCTAGTTCCTCGCCATATATTTCATTGCTGCAGGCTAAGAAGGCTTTGATAGCAGCGAAATTTGGTTATGTCATGTTGGGAGGTTTGGTGAGTGGGACACAGGAGGATATCAGTGGCATTCCTGTGGTGGGGGAGTTCCTCGAGGTGTTTCCTGAGGAGATTCCTGAGTTTCCGCCACAGCGGGAGATAGAGTTCTCCATTGATTTGTTGCCTGGTGTGGGGCCGATTTCATTAGCTCCATATCGGATGTCGCCACCGGAGCTGGCTGAGCTTAAGAAACATATTGAGGATCTTTCAGCGAAAGATTTCATTCGGCCGAGTGTGTCTCCTTGGGGAACAACGGTCATCTTCATGAAGAAGAAGGACGGGACAATGCGATTGTGCACCGACTACAGGCAGTTGAACAAGGTTACGATCAAGAACAAGTATCCCCTTCCTTGGATTGATGATCTGTTGGATTAGCTCAGGGGTGCTTGCGTGTATTCCAAGATTGATCTCCGGTCCGGATACCATCAGATTCGGGTGAAGCCGAAGGATGTCCCTAAGACCGCATTTCATTCGAGATACGATCACTTTGAGTATTTGGTGATCCTGTTTGGACTCACCAATGCGTCGGCAGTATTCATGTTACATGAACCAGATTTTCCAGTCGTATCTGGATCAGTTTGTGATCGTCTTTATTGATGACATTCTGATTTACTCCAAGACTGAGGAGGAGCATGCAGAGCATGTGAGGATTGTTCTGCAAGTGCTGAAAGAAGAAAAAGCTTTATGCTAAGCCTTCTAAGTGTGAGTTTTGGCTCAAATCAGATAAGTTCCTTGGGCATGTGATTTCAGCGGATGGAGTTGCAGTGGATCCCAACAAGATTGAGGCCGTGCTGGATTGGGAGAGGCCCAAGACAGTTACAGAGGTGAGGAGCTTCTTAGGTTTGGCAGGTTACTATCGAAGGTTCATCAAGGGTTTCTCCACGATGGTTCTCCCTTTGACTCGCCTTACCTGAAAGGAGACTCCATTTGTGTGGACTCACGACTGTGAGGCGTGCTTTCAGGAGTTGAAGGAGAGATTGACTACTTCACCTGTGTTGATCCTTCCTGATCCTGAGGAGCAGTTTGAGCTTTACTGTGATGCTTCTGGAAAGGGGCTAGGCTGTGTGTTGATGCAGTCTGGTAGAGCTGTTGCTTTTGCTTCGAGGCAGTTGAAGCCTCATGAGGAGAACTACCCGACTCATGATTTGGAGTTGGCTGCGATTGTGTTTGCTTTCAAGATTTGGAGGCATTACCTGTTTGGCATGCAGTTTGCGGTGTTCAGCGATCACAAGATCTTGAAGTATTTGTTCGATCAGAAAGAGCTGAAGATGAGGCAGAGGAGATGGATGGAGTTTCTGAAGGACTACAACTTTGAGTTGAAGTACTATCCTGGCAAGGCCAATGTGGTAGCTGATGCTTTGAGTCGGAAATCCGTGAGTCTATCCAGTTTGACGATGGGTGACTTCGACCTCATTGAGAAGTTTCGAGATCTGAAGGTGACAACCTTGTTTGGGGGTGCACTTCTCGAGATGGAGACTGTGAGAGTCAGGAATGAGCTTATGGACAAGATCCAAGAGGCGCAAGTGCAGAGAGAGTGTCTCGACTACGTGAAGAACCAAGACGGTGTGTCTTGGAATGAGGATGGACTTCTGTTGTTTCCGAAGCGTGTTGTGATTCCTCGAGGTCCTTTGACCGAAGAGGTTATGGCGGAGGCCCGTAAGGGACAGTTTACTGTTCACCCTGGTGCTACAAAGATGTACCAAGACCTGAAAAGGAATTTCTAGTGGCCAGGAATGAAGAAGGACATAGCTGTGTATGTGTCCAAGTGTTTGATCTGGAAGAAGGTGAAGATTGAACACCAGAAGCCGTCTGGTAAACTTCAACCTCTCGAGATTCTGGAATGGAAATGGGAGAGCATTTCCATGGACTTTGTTGTGGGATTGCTGAAGACTCAGGTTGGCTGTGACTCGATATGGGTCATTGTGGACAGACTGACGAAGTCTGCCCATTTTCTTCCAGTGAAGGTGAGCTTCTCTATTGAGCAGTTGGCCAAACTGTATGTTCGCGAGATCGTGAGGCTTCACGGGGTGCCCGAGAGTATCATCAGTGATAGGGACCCGAAGTTCACATCTCGGTTCTGGGAGGCGCTGCAGGGAGCTTTTGGGACTCAGTTGAGACTGAGTACAGCCTATCACCCTCAGACTGATGGACAGACTGAGCGGACTATCCAGACCTTGGAGGACTTGTTGCGCGCTTTCACGTTGGAGCAGGGCTCGGCATGGGATAGGTACCTTCCGTTGGTGGAGTTTTTGTATAACAACAGTTTCCATACTAGCCTGGGCATGGCACCCTACGAGGTGCTCTACGGTAGGAGGTGTCGTACACCTACCTGCTGGTCTGAGGTTGGGGATCGTGAGTTGTTTGGCTTGGACTTTGTCCAAGATACCACCCTGCAGATCCAGATGATCAGGGAAAAGCTGAAGCAGGCGCAGAATCGCCAGAAGAGTTACTACAATGTCAAGCATCGTCCACTGGAGTTCAGTGAGGGTGAGCACGCGTTTGTGAGACTTTCACCTGTCACCGGTGTTGGACGGGCACTAGGAGTAAGGCAGCTGAGCCCGCGGTTTATTGGGTCATACCAGATTCTTGGTAAAGTAGGACCTGTTGTCTACCGGCTTGCCTTGCCTGCGAACCTAGCCAACATCCACGACGTATTTCACGTGTCTCAACTTCGCAAGTATATAGCGGATCCTTCGCACATGGTGCAACCGGATGATGTGGAGGTTCGGGAGAACTTGAAAACTCTCGTCGGACCACTCAAGATTCTCGATCGTGGCGAAAAGCAGCTGAAGAGCAAAATCATTCCGATAGTCAAAGTGCAATGGTCAGGAAGAACTCCTGAGGAGTGTACCTGGGAGCGAGAGGACGAGATTCTCCGGCAGTATCCCGACTTCCGAGACAGGTATATTCTGATTTTGAGGACAAAATCCTAAAAAGGTGGGGTGAAGTAAGAACCCGCACCGTTAATTAATAAATTATGAGAAAATAGGAAATGATTTCATAATTGACCCTAATAATTATTATGAGGCTTTAATAATTATAGTAAGTAAGTAATAATGCTGAAAGTCGCTTTTCGGAAGAAAAGTGCAGATACCGGTTCTGCAAGTCGGTATAAATGCGTACCGAAAAAGTATCCCGGAAATTTATAATAAGTGCATGATAATTACTAGAATAATATGTAAGACTTGTAAAACGAGTTTCAAGTCAAAATAATGAAAACTGGTGCCAGAAACCGGTACTGGCTATGAAAAGCGCGTACCGGAAAAGTGCTCCGAAAATTATAAGAAAAATATGATAATTCTTGTAAAATTGAGTAGGTTAAGAATCCTAAGTTTGGGATTAAAATGCTAAGCGTAGCAATTAAAGCTAATACTATATGTTTAATGAGTAAGTGACTATAAATACTCCCTTTAAGGGCACACAACTCTAGGAAACAGATTTTTGAGCATGAGGTTTTGAGGTGGTTGACCAGAACTTGGTTCCTTGGCCTTCTTCTCTTGAGTTTTCAAACCTTGAAGCTTTTCCTTTGAATTTCTTCACACTCTCTCTTGGGGAAACACTTGGGTGTGTAGTTGGTGAGGATAAAGGGACCATTCTTTGAGTGTTGGTGGCTGTGTTGAGCTTGTGAGGGGGCTGAGTTAGTGGGTTGGAGTGTTGGGTCTTTGTTCTTGGTTGTTGAAGCTCCAAGTGGTCATCTTTGTGAAGAAAGGAACCACCTTGTTGTGCATTTTCGTGCACTCTTCCAAGTAGAGTTTGGGAGCTGGTTATGAGCTCCAATAGCAACCCTTTGCCTCTGTTTTAGACTTTGGTGAGTTGTACAAACCTTGATCATGTGTTTTGTTGAGTAAAAGAGGTGTCTTTGCATGTTTAATGAGTTAAACAAGTAACCAACAGTGATATGACCCTAAAACAGTATAAAGATGCATGATTTAACGTTTGAAAGTGTTAAAAATGGAACATTGGAAGGATATCTTCGCGAAATGCAGAAACTTCATTCTTTCGCGAAATATCCGGATATTTGCCGTGGAATATCCGGATATTGATATCCAGATATGGATATCCAGATATTGATATCCGGAAATTGCCAGAGTGATATCCGGATATTGCCTATGAGATATCCGGATATTGGATATCCGGATATGTCCCCAAGGAATATCCGGATATTCTGGGTTTGCGAGGAACAGTAGCGTACTGTTCATCCAAAACTGAACTATGGGTTTGTGGACCCTAATTTGAGGAAGTTGAACTTCTGTAATTAATTAATGTAAGTCAGAATCATATGATTAAGGGCTTATAGCTTGGTGAGAAGCCTTAAGACGTAAAACGTAATGGAAAGGCTTTGTCTTAATATTGTATGCTTGCGGTGCATGTTATTGATATATTGTTGGTCCATAACAGATTGTGAATCTGCTGTGTTTGAACTTTGAGCCATGGACTCTTGGCTTTGGGTGTTAGTTTGTAAGGTAAGCTTTTGTGTCCTCGGTTTAGCCATGTTTTGGCTCCACCATGTCCCATGGGGGTATGGTTATATGCATGCTGTGTTACATGCTTTGAGATATATGAATTGTTGTTGAGCTTTATGTGTTAATGGCTTTTAATATGCATGTGTTGTTCCATCTTGACGGTAAGCTTGAGTATGTGGCGTCATACAATACGGTGATCCGGGGTGGATACAAGCGGCGTCTTGTACTTATTGTGGGGTTGTAGACGTACATCCTGCATTTCTCTGGCCAGTAGATTAGTATTGACACACATGACATGATTATCTGCTGCATTGCACTGATTTAGAACTGATGATGATAAACTTCTTTTGAACTTATATTGCACATGTAAGTGAGCTTGGGGTGGAAGATCCTTGAGGACCCCTTGTCTTACTGAGATTTCTTGTTTAGAGATCTCACCCCACGTTTGGGGAATGCTTATTTCAGGTTCAGGTAGTATGGTGATTGATGCCTCTGACGGTAGAGGCCAGAGCTTAGTTGATGATTTTTACTGCTTATTTGCTAGCATGACTGGGCTGGATGCTGTTTATGTTTTCCGTATCATTATTATTATATTGTTGATGTTGAGACTTATGTTGGGCGTTGTTGCCTCATTTGGGTGAGCATGAGAGTTGTCCATGCCACTATGTTATTAGTACTGTTGAGTTGAGTTGTATAAACTGATAGTTGGTCCGGTCTACATGTTGTAGTTCCATAACTAGAGACATATTTTATGTTGTTTTAATTAATGAGGTATTTCAGTTAGCTGTTTTATTGCAATTGCATACAGACGATGTTTTATTAATTGGTTAATAAGCAAGTTGGTAATGATAATAACTTCATAATCGAAAAGAAAAAGATATTCCGCATTTTTTATTAAGCGCAGCTTAATACGATAGTATGATAACATTACCGGATATATACGGGATGTTACACATAACATATTATTTCAAACATATATTAGAAAAAAACATTGGGTAATACATTATAATATTTTTTAGAGAAATACTAGAATTCCATAAAATATAAGAGCACGTTTGTTTCTCAATAATTTTTTATTATGGGAATGTAATATTTACAACTTATATGTATATATATTACATCCATGAATCAATTAGTGTTTGTTTTGCATTAAGAATTTGTATATACATGACTTATTACCATTTTCCGTTATTCAAGAATTTAATTATCTCCACTGTTATCAAAAGCAGGGTTGGATTTGTTTAACATTTATTGCTACTTATTTTCCCTAAATATAGGTTTGTTTGTGTTTTTTTTGGTACGCTCCCTAAATATAGGTTTTAATAAGATATTTTCAAACACTATCTTAAGTGGAGTTTTATTTTCACCGATTTTAAATGGCATCAGTATATTGTGTAACTATTTAAAATTAATCAAAATAAAAGATACTTTTATCAATTTCATAGTTTTTTTTATATATTTTTTTTAGCAACTGGATTTTCATAGTTTAAAAAAAGTGACATATTGGTACATAATTTGAGAAAATGGATAAAATAATAAATTGAGGTTTAATATCTCTCATGTTGTAGGAAATTATCTCCTATATACACTAATAATGTGTGAGACTTATATTTTCTTTTTTTCTATCCTCTCTTTAAATGACCCCGTATGGACTCCATACACTTTTGTGTGTATTGAAAATAATTTTATCTCCTACAACATGAGAAATATCAAACATATATATATATATATATATATATATATATATATATATATAAAAGAAGGGTATCAAATGCTACTAAAAAAATCACGAGTAATTACAAATTTCATCTTCATCATCCTTCACTTTCTAGTGAAATTAAATTAGCATAGGGTAGAATAAAGAAAAATTGCGCAATATACACACTTCAAGCCCAAAAGACTCTTATATAAGGAGGTGTATTAAAAAAATAATATATAAAATAATTAAAATGACCTACACTTAACAATTTTTTAAACTTTCAGGTAAGATGGTTAATAACACTCTCAGTATCACAGAGTTGATATGCCACAGAAAGCTCAAGAAAGATTATACTAGATCATTCTTATAGGAAAAGAGCAAACAACTCTATTGATACGAAACAGTTCTCGCAGAAGCTACTCAGGTGGTGTGATTTCTGTCACATATCTTAATTTTCTTTCTTTTTTATTTGCATTTTTTGGTTGAAACGCAAACAATATTATTGCCACGTTAATTGGTAATATTTTCCTACGAAAGCTTTCATGCTGCATTATACAACTCAATAATTAATCGACGACGATTGTAGTCTTATACCACTAAACTAAGTTTAGGGACAAACGTACCATGTGATATAAAAGGTACTGGGCTTCAAGGATTTACTACATTCGCTGCACAACTCGTTTAGGAAGATTGAACTTAAGATATGAAAAATATTGCATTATTCTTAATTTTTAAATAAGTGATCTCCACCTATTTTACTTATGTAACAACAAACTTTGAAATTTGGCTAATTCTATGGTTGTATAGTATTACTACTTGGGATATTAGCTAATCAAGCTTTTAAAGGGGCCGTGCAAGCATGCAGTCATTGAACATAGTATATGCAAATGCGTGCGCACAAGCACACTATGGATAATTCAATTCCTTCAACTTATCAAACTATGGATATTAACACCCTATAGGAATTTTTCTACTCATACACAGGAAGTTAACTTTAAACTACATTGCATGATTTGGTAAGTTTAATAGTTTTCTGAAATTGCACTGTACATAGTATGAGTAAAGTTCCTTACATTTTGGCCTTTTATTCTGTCTTTGACTAATGTATTCTTTTAGGCATTCTTGTAAAACTAAACTATAAAAATTGTCAATACATTTGAGTCTTAGCAAATATAAAAAACGAACTCTCTCGAAAACTGGTATCAAGTAAAATGAAAATCGTAACCTTGAACCTTTTTTTGTTGTTGAACAAATTAGAATGCTCAAAAGGTTGTCTTTGGTGCAGATCCAATAACAATAGAGTCAACTTCCCACGGTTTTGCAAATCAGCAAATATGGCCAGATCCTCTGCTGAAATCATTTGGACATCCTCATCAGTTATCATTATTTTGTGGGATCAAGCAATGTGTAACTGTTTCTCGGAGTCATTTGCTTGCTTAATTTATAGCCTTTGGACCACCCACAATATCTGTTGTTGAAGGTGGAAATGTGGTGCTAGCTAATTGGTATGAAAATCAGTAAGGGAAATTGCACAGAGGGCTGGAGGCTCTTCTGGACTTCTGGTTAAGTTACGGCTACACCAAGGGAGAATAGAGAATTTGACTGGTGACTGCTGCAAGTCCAACCACTTGCCATTGCTGAGTGTGTCTGCGGTGAGTTGAAGGGAAAAAAGGTAAGTAAAGTCATCTAGCAGATAAGTCTTCAGCCCAAATCTTTATGATTTTTATAAATAAAGAGGGAGGGAGGGAAAGACAGCGGTTCAAGTTTCCTCTATTTAACCAAACACAGCTTTCTCCACTTTTTTATCATAGAGCCATGTTAGTCAGGTAAAAACATTTTATCTGACAAGAATTATCAACCGAAAACAAAAGATTAGAATAATGGTATGAAAATTGGTATGACTTTACTAAAACATTGTTTGCCAATGGTTAATGAAATCACCCTTCTCCCTCACAACCCACCCCTCCCTCCCTTAAAAGAGGAACAAAGTATACAATCACCCTTCTGAACTAGTTCATCATGTGCCTCTAACTGCACACACAGTACTATACATTAAGAACGAAGCATTATTAGTCAAAACACAACTGAGGTTTTCCATTCATAGACTACAATTCCTAACATTTCTAAACACCAGAAAACACAAAAAAGTTCCCAGCCAGCACAGGTAAACTAATACCAAAATCCAAAAGTGAAAAGTGAAAATATATTTGCCAAGAATTCTTAATTTGTAATACTCCCTAAATCAAAAGTCATTCAAGTTAAAAAGAATATTAAAAACCAAAATAAAAACCACTCTCCATTAAACCCCGACTAGCGAGAGTAGGGGTGAAATTAAAAAGAATACTGCAACCTGAAAATAATATCATCTGTGAACCATCTGTCTTGGCATCATTAGAGCATAAACAGTCGGAAGGAATGAAAGCATCAATTTCTTTAGTCAAATATACATCAGCAAAATTAGAGTTTTTACACTGTGCTTCTCTTGATTCCAATTTGATACACCACCTGGAAGTTCTCCAGATCCATCTACATGCAAAGTTAATAAACTGACTAATAACTTGTTAAGAATTTGATTAGCTCCTAACTGGTAAAACAAAGGAACATAGTGATCATAGACTTACTTATTTTATCAATCAATGGAATTTAAGAAGCCAGTTGCTCCTTCAGCTTTCTAAAAGTGCCTGATCACCTGAACAAAGACATAGTGGACATGAGCTAATAATCCCTCTTAAGTAATTTAAATAACAGTTTACATGTTAGTGTATTTGGGAGTGGGGGACGAGGCTAAATAACACCTAATAATTAATGATTTCAGTCACAAAGTTAAAAGTGTGATGTACCCATACCAGTAAACTTTCCAACATTTCAATTCCACTGCATAATCCAAGCCTTGACCAACACAGACTTTATATTCCTAAAATTGCACACCAACTAATAAATCATCATCAGGCATGTCCCTAGCCTTCTTCATGTTTGTATGTAGATCAAGAAGTAAGTACTCAAGCAGCTCATATTGAGAATGTGACTTATCACCAACTACAAATACTTGCACTGTATTGCCCACTTCAATCCAACTACAACCTGGCTGCTTCTTTAACCCCTTATCCTTCATTTTCATCCTAACGTTAGCAGCTTCTTTCCACTTCCCAACTGAAGCATACATATTTGAAAGTAATAAATAAGTGCCTGCATTCTCTGGTTCAATTTTCAAAATTTTCTTTGCTACAAGCTTCCCGATATCAGCATCTCCATGCACATTGCATCCAGCAAGGAGCGCTCCCCAAACAGATAATGATGCCTCTTCCCCAAGTCCCCCAATGATATTGAAAGCTTCTTTCAGCCTTCCTGCCCGACCACAAAGATCAATCAAACATGCATAGTGATCTTCTCTGACTTGTATAGATCTGTTTTTCAGAAGCTCATCAAAGAATTTAAGCCCCTCCTCAACTAAACCAGCATGACTGCAAGCCGTGAGAAGTCCAACATAGGTGACATCATTAGCTTGGAAACCTAATTCTTGCATTTCCTTAAATAGATTAATTGCCTCCTTGCCAAATCCATGGTGTGCATAAGCGGCAATCATACCGTTCCAAGATATCAAATCCCTTTGGCTTAATATCCCATCATCAAACATCTTCCTAGCAACATGCAACTCTCCACATTTTGAGTACATATTTATCAGCGCTGATACCACATATGGGCTATCCTGAAAAACTGTTTTACTTATTAATTGATGAATTTGTTGTCCCTCAGTAAGACCAGCTAAGTCACTACAAGCACCTAACACGGTCACAAAAGTTCCGGTGTTGGGTTTTAATCCATCATTATATAGCATTTTGTTAAATATTTTCAATGCTTCTTCACTTAGGCCATGTTGCACATACCCTGTCATCATTGCAGTCCATGTAATGACATTCTTTTCTGGCATTCCATCAAATAACCTCTCTGCCCTATTTAAGTCCCCATTCTGAATGAACCCCGTGATCATTGTATTCCATGAAGGCATGTCCCTTTCAGGCATTCTCTCAAACAACTCTAGAGCCTCATCCAACCTCCTATTTTGCGCATAACCTGTGATCATTGCATTCCAAGAAACCACATTTCGAACAGGCATCCTATCAAAAAGTGCTCGAGCATCATCAATTCTCCCATTTTTTGACAAACCCGCAACCATGGTAGTCCATGAAACCACATCCCTTTCCTGCATCTGATTAAAAAGCCATTGTGCTTCCTCCATTCTCCCACACTGTGCCAATGCCGTTATGATTGTATTCCAAGAAACTACATTCCTATCTGGCATTCTCCTAAACAAATCCAAAGCCAGCTGGGTTTGGCCATTTCGAGCATACCCATCAATCATTGTGTTCCAAGAGACAACATTCCTCAGTGGCATCTCATAGAACAACCTCTCAGCTTCCTTAATTTGGTTGAACTTAATGTACCCACTAACCATAGCTGTCCAAATAACCACATTTTTCTTGGCATCCAATCTATCAAACAACTTCCTAGCTTCCTTAATCATGCCACATTTAATATACCCACTTATCATTGTAGTCCACAAACCAATGTCCCTTTCAGCCATTTCATCAAACAGCTTGCGTGCATCATCGATCTTCCCTTCCTTGCAAAGCCTTGAGATGAAGAAATTGCATCGTTTCATTTCCAAATGAAGACTGATGGTGGATGTTAACCTAATTGTAAGATTCCTTAACAATGGGAAGCCATTTACGATGCTTAGTGGGTGTGTGTTGAGCTTGGGAACTTGCATCAAAGTGAATGATAAATGATATATCTTCTTCATCTTTCAATGATAATTGATACCTAAACCGGAAATCGGTTAAGAAATTGATTTTCTAGGTCCTAACGGCTGTGAATTTGATTAATCCTCGTACTCTGGTGAATCATGTCCGATAAAATCTTAATAAACAGCGTATTTTACAAGGTGTATTAGATTAGGATTTTAAAAAATTGTTTTGAGATTAAATTTTTTTTATAAGATTATCTAGAATTATAATGACTTTAAATATTTTTCGGAATGATTTTTTTATACTTAAGATTTTATAAGATTGTAAGATTGTATTTTAAAAGATTTTAATAAAATTTATAAGATTTGAAACAAAAATACAATTTCATAAAAATTTAAAAAATCATATGAATTTTTAACAAACATTTAAAATTATAAGAGTTTGTAAAAAAATAACAAAAAAATTTAATGATATTAATAAAAAAATAAAGAGAAGATTATATTATAAACTTTTTGTTTACAAATTAAATTATTTCTTGCGGGTAAGACACTTTTGAGTTAAGTTAAGTCTTACCGGTAAGACATAGTGTAGTTTATAAATAAAAAATATAACAATATAACCCTCCCAAAAACAAAACATAATATAATTTTCTTAATTAGTAATTTGATATAGCTTAATGTCTTACTAAGCAACAGTTCTCCACATATCTAAAATAATAATAGCCCTCCACACATTAACATCTTCTCACTCCTGCTCTTGGGTCTGATCAACAGGTTTAAAATTATCTTCTTCAATAACTAATGATATTGAAAATAAAGATGCGTCTATTGGTTCAATTGGAAATATGCATCTGAATGACATTCTTTGCGAAGAAAGTTGTGTAGTGTTACATATGCTAACACAAGCTCTGCTTGTATTTTAAATGGAAACAGAGGTGCTGACTTGAAATTCGTGAACCATGATTTAAAAAAGCCAAATATTCCCTCAATTACGTTTCTCAATGATGCATGACGAATATTGAACAATCTTTAAAATCCTCGAAAATTTTTGAACCATGATTTGGAAACGCTCGAAAACAATCTTTTAAAATTTTAATAGAATATCACATGTCTTTTTTTACAATTCTTTAAAATACTAATTGACTATCAATAGATTTTCTTTATCCAAAAATAATTTATTAAAATCTTTTAAAATCTCAATTCAACACGGCCTTTCGTAATTTGTAATGTAACATGGTATCTTACCTTACGTATGTGATGTCATCGTGGGACCAATGTTCAGGAAAAAAATAATATTTTTCACGAGGAAATATGTTTTTTATATTATATGAGATAAATTTATTTTATACAATATTCAAAAAATAAGTGAAAAAGTGAGTGGAACTCGCTAAGAAAAAGAGAAAGAAAGAAAAATTGAGTCTCACTTACTTTTTGTATATGCATGAAATAAAATTATCTTATATAACACAAGAAAAATATTTCCATGAATATATACGTGTCCGTATTTAATAATATTATATTCATTGCATTGTTATTCACAAAAAAACTATATCAACATGTAAGTTTTATTTGTTAAATATAACCATCGTTGCGTCTCATACAATATTTTAAAGCCCCTCCCCACCCCCGGGTTGACCCGGGTCAACCCTGACCCCTCCCCTCTGAGGGTTGGGGTCACAAGTTGGACCCTATATGCACATCGACCCCTCCGACCCCCAAAACCTGGCCGGATTTCAGTGACTCCCGGGTCAAAGGGGTCACTGCATGTTTTTTTGTTTAAAGAAAATTCCATGAAACAACGTCGTTTTATTAAAAAATAAAAATAAAAATGCTTGCAAACCTAAATCTAATCGCTCTCTACTCTCCAAACGACCTAGACCTGTGGTATCTTGACAATTTGGTATCATTAGAATATGAGTTTTGTACTTTGGTATCTTGATACTTTAATTATGTTGTGTAATATTGACTTGTGGTTATAATTGGTGAATTATGTTAAGGATATTTTGAATCTTTGATGATTGGTGATTTGCTTTTTAATATTTTCATATAGGATATATATATTTATATTTTTTAATATATAAAATCGGGTCAGCGTAGTGACCCCGTGACCCCCTGGTTGAACCCGTGACCCCTGACCTCGGCCGGGTCGATGGCCGGGCCGAGTTTTTAAACACTGGTCTCATATAATTCTACTTACCACTCCCCAAAGAAAAAGAAAAAGAAAAAGAAAAAGAAAACCGTCAATTATATGAAGACTCTCATGGCCAATGGCAACTTTCCCACATTTGATTTGCAATAGTTTTTCAAATTTATGCCATTTTAATTGCTTGAGTAGCATCAGTATTGATACATTGGCAATAGGAATTAACCTTTGTCTTCTAACAGGATAATTTGAGATCAACTTTAAAATTGAAAACCTCTCTTTCAATACTCCAAAACACCTCTCAATGACATTCTTCAATGAAAAGTGCCTATGAATGAAAAATTCCTGTTTAGGAGTCTGGTCTGGATAAGTATTTTTGGAATAAGGATCTGGTTTTGGTATTCAGATCTGGTTAGTGAATTTCAGATTAAGGGGTGGTTACAAGTCTGCAAATTTAGGACAAAATTTAAATCTTTTTTTGGTCCTATAGAAAATCAGCTTAGATTCTTAAGAGTTTGTTGAAGTATTGAGATTAAGGCGGAAGATTAGTAGCAACCAACCGATTTTAGGTTGTATTGGGTGACTAGAATTTAAGCAAAATTAATTATATTAAGGGCATGTGTTTTGTCTTATGATGTCCTAGAGGAGTTTGAGTTTGATAGGTGGTAATTTAAGGAGGTTAAAGCCACAAACTTCTTCATGGATTGAAATGATAATGTTTAAAATTTAAATTACAGGGCAAGTGATGCTCTAGCTAGCAAATGCAGTTCATGATTGTCTGTTGTTGTTGTGTTGCAACACTTACTTATCCTACTTGTCTATACCTCGTCCCACTTTAGGTTCTCAATTCTAGACACACTTGTGATTAGGATGTTCTAATTTTATATTATTTCTCTTATACTAATTTCAACCTGCAGCACATTTTTGGGATCAGAAACAGACAGAGATATGGACTGCAGCCCTTCTTTTCGAATTGTTTATGAAGATGCATTAATACATTAGGAACACAAATATAAAATCTGCAGCTGCATTATACATATCAGAAATCAAAACAAATACTTCTTATCTGCCTTTTTTATGAAGATGCATCACATGCCAGTTACAGCTTCTGCATTGCATTGACAAATTCAGCTTTCTGATATCGCATCTGCATAGCATCTTCTCTTGTAGAACTGGATTTGGCAGACAACATTATCTTTATTACCAAAACTTTAGAATGCAAAAGTTCTCCAATTAAGATCCAATAAGTAAAGTGCAGGGATTCCCCAACAAAAACGCCAACTTTCTTATCTTGTAGTATTGGATTTGGCAAACAACAAATAACAATACCCAAATGCCATTTGAATATGACAACCATGATGATGTCCAACAACTTGTGGTATTTCTGGTTTTAGGTGTTGCTACACTCTTCTCAAGACAAGGGTGTGCTCAAGTTACTATAAATATCAGAGCCAACATGTACAAAATAGAATGACATAGCATAATAATTGTTATAATTCAATCATTTATTCACAATAAATCATAAAAGTTTTCTTTTCATTTTTCCCCCTCTCTTGTTGAATGCCAAATCAGCATGGCATAACATAGATATGTTTCTCAATCATACGCCTTTAGCCTTGTGCTTCCAACAAGGTAAGATTGGGAATCAACATATGCCTAAAAAGGGAATTACTAATGTCTGTAAATTAACTTAAGGGGAATTCAAATCAACAGATAAAATAGTGGCTGAGAATTGGCCATGGAAATTAGAAGGGCAGAACACAATATTTGTGCAAAAGTTCATACTCAGCACACAAAATTAGGTGCAATATTTCATACTCATTCATCATTAGACATTGCACAATAGTTTCCTACACAATTAAATTCATGTCAAACACATACACTTTCCAACACAACAAATCAAACATGACATAAAAACTTTTGGTATATCAAACATGAGGAGGATATTCTCACTATCAAAAGTTTTCACTACCAACTTACTGTCTATCTAATTACCATTGAATTAAAGAGAGAGAATGTTAAAAAAAATTTGAAGAAAAAAAAAATATTAATCCAATAGTAATTAGATAGGTAGTAAGTTAGTACTGAAAAATTTTAGTACTGAGAATATCCCTCCTCGTCAAACATAACAACAAGGTTTAGTTTGTCTAAGAAGAAAGGGCATGTTTAAGCCTTTGACAATCAAGCAAGTAGGCAAAACCATAAGCCATATTCATCAAAGTGGCCTCATGAAGATCCTTATCAGAAGTAGCAGTGGCATCTGTAGAGAAGAAAACCCTAAACCCTCTAACAAAAGCATCACGCGCGGTTGTTTCACAGCACAGGTTGGTCATAACCCCTGTAACTATCACCTCCCTCACACCCATCTCCAACAACTTCTCTTCTAAGCGCGTGTTCCTAAACGCGCTGTAAGTGGTTTTCTCCACCACCATGTCCTCCTCAACCTTGCGGTCCAGCGTCTCCACAAGCTCAGCATCTAAGGTGCCGTCGATGATGAGGTCACCGAACCACCACTCCTCGAGCATGCCGTGGTCGGAGGGAGACTTGTGGGAGTGGCGCGTGAAGATGACGGGGATGGAAGATTGCCTGCAGAGGTTGATGGTGGTGTTGAGGTTTGAGAGTATTGGTGTGGCGATTGAAGAGAAGTAGTTTTGAACGTCGATGACCAAAAGTGCACATGACTTTGGATCGGGGTTTCTCTTTCTTGTCTCGTATTCAGTGTAGGATTTGAGTTTGAGAGAAGACGACATTGTTGGAGAATCAGAATTAAGGTTACTCCTTTCAAGTTTCAACTCCTCAAGCTTTTGACTTTGTGCAATGGGATAAAATAAAATAACATTGATGACTCGATGATTCTCGGGACTTCCATTTATCTTTTTGTTTCGTATATAAGCGTGGGGGACACTGATACTTGTGCCTAGTGGCAAAGCGGTAGAGCTGTCAAAAAGGGCTTAAGCCGTAGGGTCAGTCCAGCAAGTCCTAGGACCAGTCCTATAAAATTTTAGCCCTCTATGTAATGGGTCATTTTAAGCCCATTCTTTTAAAGCCCTCTCATTATAAGGTTAGGTAAGGGCTGGCTCGCGGGCTACAATATTCAACCCAATTTACAACGAAAAAATTTCATCAAAAGTTTTGACAGAAAAAAGAATTCTTTCAAAAATTTTGACGGAATATTTTTCGTCCAAAATCTTCGATGAAAATGTGACCCAATGAAAATTACAACGAAAATATTTTTTTTCAAAATTTTTGAGGGAATTGTATCTGTGAAACTTTCGACGGAATTTAGATTTTGTAAAGATTTTTGACAAAATATTTTTTTCGTTGAAATTTTTTCCAGAAATATTTTCGTCAAAGTTTTTTATAGAAATAATTTTCGTGGAAAATTTTTAACAAAAATGTGTTCCGTTTAAAATTTTGATAGAAATATTTTTTATCGAAAATTTTGTCAAAAATATTTTTCGTCGAAATTTTTTGACGGAAATGTGTTTCGTCAAAAATTTTGACGGAATATTTTTTCGTCAAAAATTTCGACAAAAACTTTTTTCATCAAAATTTTCGACGTAAATTTTTGTGTCAAAAATTTTGACGGAAATCAAAAATTTCGACGGAAATTTTTTTCGTAAAAAATTTCAACAAAAACTTTTTTCGTCAAAAATTTCGATGGAAAAATTTTCGTCAAGAATTTTGACGGAAATTTTTTCGTCAAAAATTTCGACGGAAATTTTTCCGTCAAAAACTTTTACGGAATTTAGATTCTGTAAAGAATTTTGACGAATTTTTTTTGTCGTCAATTTTTTTACAGAAATATTTTCTGTCAAAATTTTTTACGAAAAAATTTCAATGCAATAATTTTTTTAAAAAGTGACAATTTTCTAAAAATTATTTATTTTTATTTTTTCTAATAATTTCTGTGCACCATTTTATTATAAATATTTTTTTAAAAAAATACATATTATTTTTTAGAAGGCCCGCGGGCTGGCCCTAACCCATATGGCTTTGGCCCGTGCGGATCTATATCATTGTGGGCTTTTTGGCCCTAACCCACTTGGGCTAGGGCGAAATGGGCCGGGCTGACCCATTTTGACAGCTCTACAAAGCGGGCTGTCCGCCCCGCCAAGCCCGTCACATTTTACACTAAAAATAAAAATAAAAATAAAAAATCAGCCCGGGTGGGCTGGCGGGCTTGGCAGGGCGGGCTTGGCGGGTTTAGAAAATTCAGCCTGCTCCACCCCGTTTGGCGGGCGGGGCGGGCCGGCCCGGCGGGCTCGACCCATTTTGCCAGCTCTACTTGTGCCACCTTTTTTGAGTATTAATTATTATTGTTATATATATTTTTTTTCAAAATGTCATGTTATATTTTCATTATGCCAACAAGCGAAATTGGATTGGATACGTGATAATATTTTGTAGGTCACAAATCTCGTCCAGCAATGTAGTGAGATAATCAAAGGTGTTGACACATGAAAAAAGCACATTTATTCACCCTGGACAGCCTAATAAAATTAGCCACGTGAATAATTTTTTACAGATGTAACAGTCTGCTTGTTGAGATAGGAAAAATATGACGTGTCATTTTGAGAAAATTTCATTGCATTATAGCATAATGATAATTAATCCTGAAAAAAGTGACAAAAGGGTCAATAAATGTTGTCCCGTAATGCTTATATAAACCTTGTGATACACCATTTTGTGCTTTTTACCACAAATCCTTTTATGTCACATGATGACTTTATGCGAGATTATTTAAATAAAATAACCGTTATTTTTTTTAGTCTTTAATTTAATATTTTTCTTTTACCGTTAATTTATATATGACAATTGAGATTGTTTTATATAAAAATGACAGGAAGATATTATATTTATAATTTTTTTTCTTACTAATACTGGATCAATTTTTATTTTACAATGGTTCATTTGATTTTGATCTAAAATAATAAACATTAATGCAATGGAAAAACTATTCATTGGAATGTAAAAGCCATGAATGTGTTTGGCTTCTATGGTCAGCCCTTGTCCTGCTTCTTGGATCCGAATTTGCTTCTTTCTCGAAAAGGGACCTGTTAGTGCTTTGGAGGATAATATATGTTCCTATGAAAGAATGATTTGAAAGGAAAATTGCAAATTCTTGACATGCTTTCGAGAAATTAACCTTCGCAGATGGGAAGAATAAAGTTGTATATTATGTACGTCTAGCATATCTTATTCTAAATGAGAACATGTGGATGCGGGATGCATTCATTTCTAAGAGGCAGACATACACTGTGTAGCATCGACACTGACACGGGACACGTGACATGATACGACACGACACTCCGATACGTTAATTCTAAAAAATGTTAAATTTCGACACGTTAGGACACGTTTTGATATTAAATAATATATTTAATTTATGTAGTATATATTATCTTTAATATTCAACAATTTAACAAAAAAATGTATCTAAACTTATAATATTCATAAATTTTGCAAAGAAACATAAGATATTTCAAATATTTATATTAAACTCAATAAAATAGTAATCGTAATCTAACGAATCTAACAGTTAGAACTAAAAATTCAACGCAATTTAACCTTTGAACCGTTTTTTGAATTTCAATAACGCGTGTTGGAGTGTCGGACACGACACGTCAAGGTTTTTGAAGTGTCGGTTCTTCATAGGGCATACATATAATTGAAGACAATGCACATGTTGGAGCTCAAAACACAAAAGAAAAAAAGAAAAGAAAAAACTAAATTTATACTAGTACGTAGTTTACAATTTTAGCGATTTCAATGAGTCCGTCATATTGATAAGTTTTAAAGCGTAAGGAGGTTTTATTGCAAATGACCCAAAGTTTGAGAGAGTTTATTGCATTATATCCTAAAAAGTTCAATTTTTTAAGTAAATACTATCATAATTTAAACTCTTTAATAATGTACTATAAATGATAAAATTATAGTTTTACGTTCATAGTTGATAAAAATTAAATATAAATAAATTTTATTCTTCAAAGATATGGTTATGTTTATCACGTTTTAGTCTTGTCACCTGTTTGTTAATCTTTAGCACATTGTTTAGTATAAGTAAGGAATATAGTTATGTTTGATATAGAGTTATGTCGTTTTAAATTTTAAAAAGGGTTGAATATTATTTGATTTTAGGATTGAGCATTCTATTTGTTGAGCAAGATGACAATAGCCACACTGCTGTGAAGTAAATAAAAATCTAGCAGGGTAATTCGGAGCCTAGAAACAAAAATTATAGCCAAATCTAAGCTATGGTAGAGCTTTATAACAATTTTCTTGGTACGTAAAACTCATTTTCAACTTCTCATGCTAACTTACATGATTTCAGGTCTTGCTTCATGGCTCTTTAACTACTTAAGATTTAGTTACAAAATTGCAGTAAGATTTCATATTTGACAATTTTATTTGTATTTTACGTCCACGCTAGAATGTGCTCCATATGACGGTCTGATGCATTTTCTGTATTTTCGCCACCTGTCATATAAATTCCTGGATCTTATAAATACAATCTCTCATAATAATATTACCATAAAAAAATTCTTTTTCGTTTTATATTTTATTAGGCCGTTGTTAATGAAAAAAATAATGTTATATTATAAGTACCGGGCAAGTTATATTTACAAACTTTTTTTGTTTACAAACTCTTACAAATTACACTAAGTACGACCGGTCACACTTTAATCATGTAGTGTACGACCGGTCGTACTTAGTGTAATTTACTAAAAAAGTTTGTAAACGGATACTATCCCTATAAGTATATAACCTAATTGTTGACATTTAATTCTTTTATAATATATAATTAATTGTGTAACTAAATAAAGTGGTACGATAAAATACCTAATTACTTGTAATATAAAACTTTGTAAGCTTTATATATATAAACGTAAATTTGGTATATTACTCTTAATATAATTGTTGGATTGATGTATCTCAAAATTCATAAAAAAAAAGTGTGAAATAATATAAGTATATTTAGACTTACAAATAGCATATCATTGTTTGAAAAAGTATAAGAGAATTTAAAGCACACGCTTACAATTTTTGTTATTTTATCCTGACGACGTTAATAATCTTACATAGTTAAGAGAGATGTCTTTCTCTTCCCTTTATAGTCCACTCACACAGGGTAAAAAAAAAAAAAACCCCTTTTTATACTAAGAAAACTTCAATGGGAATTTCTTATAGTTAATTTTTTTTTTTTTGGTAAGCAAGGGATCAATTTCTTATACTTTATCATTACCTTTTCTTCTATATTTTAGATGAATTTCTAAAAAAAATTATCGGAGAATTTTCAAATCTTGCGATAAATATAATATCTTATAAATTAAAAATACCATTGAATTTTCCAAAAAAACATATTATATATATAAAAGATAAGACATGAAAGGAAATTAGAGTTAATTACAATTTGCATCCTTAATTAATTATTCAAATTAATATTTCCACCCTAATTGGTAAAGTTAGGTTCATGGAAATTTAATTTAATATTTTCTTTGCCTTATTTTTTCACTAAAGTTAAATGTTATTCAGGAATAAAACACCCCTCAATCAGCTACAAAATGTTCAAACCTAGAAAATGGATTTTTGAACATTTTACCCTTCATTAATTAATTAATAATCATTTTGTCCCTCATTCAAAACTATCTACCAAAATACCTCTCTTCAATCGATTAACTTGAAGATTTAATTGATTAAATGGTCAAAACTGACAGAAATGGTTGACTTGAAGATTTAATCGATTAAATCTTTAAAAAGAAACAAAAAAGGCGTCTGCTGCGTGTCTTGTCATTGCATTTTCGTTTCTTTTTGGAGATTTAATCGATTAAGTTGAAGATTTAATCGATTAAATCTTCATGTAAACTATTTTTGTTAGTTTTGATCATTTAATCAATTAAATCTTCAATTTAATCAATTAAAGAGTGACAGATTGATAGATAATTTTGAACGAGGGATAAAATAGATATTAATTAATTAATGAAGGGTAGAAAAAAACTTTAGAAAACACTTCAAATGTTTCAAAAAAAAAAAAACACTTCAAATCAATTGGGCGGGCCGGTGGAGATTGTTGGGCCGGGTTAGTGTGTAATTGGGTAACCGGGTCAAATCCTATTTCGGTTGAAGAAGTCGAAATCCTAATCGAAATCAATCACTGTTGAATCCCTAACCTAACGCAGTGAGAGAAGTGAGAAGAAAGAAAGAAGGAAAGTTGAAGTTGCGTTTTTTCTTTGTGTTGTGTGTGTGTTGAATCGAATCCGAATAAAACGATGTCGTACCTGTTGCCTCACTTGCATTCTGGATGGGCTGTGGATCAGGCAATCCTTGCAGAGGAGGAGCGTCTCGTTGTGATCCGTTTCGGTCACGATTGGGATGAGACCTGCATGCAGGTAATTCATATTCATATTCATTGAAAACTTTATGTTAAATTAAATTAATTTTATGATATCGTTATGTTATGATGATGATGATGATTTATAATTGAATTTACTGTTTTATGTGATTTTTAGTGAGAAAAAGACACCAACAATGAAAATCATGGAATTTTTTTTTTTGAATTTATATTTTAAATAAAAAATATTAGGTCTTTCAACTATAGGTTACAAATATTTTTCGGTTTATTATAATTAGCAAAATTGTAATTATTATTTTGTTAAAAAGATGGATGAGGTGCTGGCATCAGTTGCGGAGACAATAAAGAACTTTGCGGTGATATACCTAGTGGACATAACGGAGGTTCCTGATTTCAACACAATGTACGAACTGTATGATCCATCAACAGTGATGTTCTTCTTCAGGAACAAGCACATTATGATAGACCTTGGCACAGGTAACAACAACAAGATCAATTGGGCTCTCAAGGACAAACAAGAATTCATTGATATCATCGAAACTGTCTACAGAGGTGCTAGGAAAGGACGTGGTCTCGTCATTGCTCCCAAAGATTACTCCACCAAGTACCGCTACTAATTATTATTAGTAGTCTTGTATCTATCAAAGTTAAATAAACAAACTCTACCTTTATTGTCTTGTCTTTCTAAACATGTATAATGACCCCTAATATCAATTGTGTTTGTCTCTGCTTGTGTATCAATCAAGACCTTTTCATTTTTGTGCAGTATGAACACCAAAGTAGGTTCTGGTTTAAGTGCATCTGCTTAGTATGTGTGAATGAGTCTGAATCCCTTTATTTTACTACTATCCTTGTATTTATAATGGTTCTCATAGGTTGTTAGTGATGAAAATCGTGGCTGAGGAACCGTTTTTTTATTGACAATAGTGACAATTATATAAAGTCATTATAAAGCGGGAAAGGGTCGTGGGTTTGATTCCACGATCCTTGTATTTATAATGGTTCTCATAGGTGGTTAGTGATGAAGATCGTGGGTGAGGAACCATTTTTCTATTGACGATAGTGGCAGTTATATAAAGTCATTATAAAGCGGGAAAGGATCGTGGGTTTGATTCCACGATCCGAGCTCTTATTATATAGCCTCATAACCCAGGCTTACGGCTTAAGAAGGTAACCAGGTAGGCTAATTCGAGTACAAGGTCTTGGGCCCACCGTTGGGCTATAACCGAATGGGCCTAGCTGTGTTAACTAACTTGGAACAATTTTAATTATGCATGTTGTGTGTGCTGGTACTTTTAAGCTTTGAAGATCAGTTTTCTTATTTAAGTTTGTGAATGAAAAAGAACGGTCCCTGAAATGGTTATTCCCTGAACGGTAAGTATAACTTATACCTAAAAATTATATATTTAAATTTTTATGGCATGCATCTCCTGTATGTATGTGCATATTGCATAACAGTGAAAGGTACTCACATTTGCTACCATTCAATGCCCATATCCATAATCTACATAGAGCAACATCCAAAAAAAACAAGTATAGACAGGACCTTACTGTTTTAATTCACGTTTTATTATATACCCTAGTGCTTATTACATGTATCTATCAGTCTTTGCTATTAACCTTTTAAGCTTCTATTATGTGCTTCTATCTATTTCTATTTCCAATGATGGCACAAGTTCTATAATTGCCGTTCCAATCATATACCATGTAGATGCTGAGAGTATACTCTGTAAATCAAGAGCTGTTAACAATTTCCAAAGCTAGAGAACAACCCACATGTTGTTTCAACTCATGTATTGACCCTACTTAATGTAATCGAACTGTAGCCAATACAATCAATGCAGTAACCATTGGAAATCCCCATCTAATAATGCTATTCTGATTCTCATATTTTTCAGTATCTTTTTCATTTTGTTGATGGGGCCTAATACACCTCAAGATGAATGCAATTTAATGGGGTTTGATGGTTGGTCCTTTTCCTATCAGAACTTTCTTCCTTGCTGCAGCATCTCTGAGCTTACCAATATTCAGTTAAAGTAATTTATATTTCTGGGTTTGAAATGAAATTGATATATTATTGCCTGAATTGCTGACATTCTTGATTCTCTTTATTGAAAGAGGTGTTCTCTAGTTAATCCATGAAGTAGAGAATAAGGAATACAAGCATTGAAGATTTTTTCCATAATGAAAGAAAATTTCTTATGGTCATATCGTAATTATTTCTTATTTGATTCTCTTTTATTCCCTTATTATAGGATTGATTACTCCTGATTATTTCTTTATTTTTAACCTTAAATTAAGAAAGTAATTATTAATATGTATTCCCATTCAACCTTATATAATTTAACCATGTGTACATCATGGGTTATGAAATCATATGCACTATTTCCCCATATTTCAACTCTTTCTTTGTAGCCCCTCATTACATGTCAAACTAACCTTAGAACAACACTAGGAAGCTTTTCCAATTGCTTCCTGGAATCTAGTGTCTGAAACTTTTTCACGTCTACGAATATGATGGCAGCACTTCTGAAGTGCATATTTGAAGGGTGAAATCCCATCGTTGATGGGGTTGTTAACTCTGTTCTTATCATGGAACAACTGTACAAAGGAAAGCATGCAGATGCAGCACTCGCCAATGCCATTTTCATTGTTTGAGTTTGAAGTAAGCAAAGAGGGTAAGACATCATGTGGTGTTTTATCAAGGCTCGTATGTAGTCTTATATGACCAACAATGATACCAGGTATTTTGCTTTCTAATCTAAGTTTTGCGGAAAACAATGGAAGATAGTTAGTGAAGTTTATTTTTCTTCACATTCCAAAGTGAGTGGGGAAAGAAAATATTTACCGTTTTACTGAGTACAGAGTATTGAGTACTTCATTTATTAAATAGGGTTTTATATTTCTCATTCAACATGAGAATTGAATTCTCATGTCGTAGAGACAAAAAGCATGTGGGACTTGTATGATAGAAAAAATTATGTGTAGGACCCACGTTGGCACGGAAATCAAAGGGTGTGTAGGAAAATCCAAAATCTCATGTTAAATGAGAATTATAAAACCCTATTAAATATGGTAAAAAGTAATTTATTTATTTTATTCTATTTTTGTAATTATTTTCACTCATTCAATTTTTTTTTTCTATTTCTGATAAGGGAGGAGGTACTCCCGTAGCCTTGGAAATGTGTTCAGTCACATAAAGTGTGTAAATGAAAGAATTTGATTAAAAGATGAAGTTATAATGAAAGGAAAATTTCTACAATACTACTGTCTTACCCACTTTTCTATATATTTCTACAATACAAATTAAACACATATGTTGATTGATGACATGGAAAAGAAAAAACTGTGTATTAAAGACAGATGTTTAATTTTCAATGGCAGTAGTACGTACTACTGTTGTAGTGAAGATGAGCTCTAATGAAAGAGACTAATTTTGGTCACTTGAGACTAATTTTGGTGACTCTATTATTATTACTACTAGCGGATTCAAGGCCACTATAAATATTTAATAAAAATATTTAATTTTTAAATATTTTGAAAATAAGTTGTTTTCAACTGAATTAATGTAGTTATTTGGATAACAAAAAAAGGGGGTAGTTATTTTATTTTTAAAATTATAAATAAGTAAATCATAATAACAAATAGGTAATTAATATGGGTTCATTTTTTCTGTTGACAATATACATAAGTTATTTACATGGAGCCTAAAATGACATCGTTTTGGGATGAAAATTAATATATTTTTATAATTATAATTTATTTCAGGATTATAATAGTCTTTCTTATTGTAATTTTTTAAGCTTTAAATCAAAAATAACGTTGTTTTGGAAATGAATATAAATAACTTATCTATATTTATTGTAGAAACATTAAGGGACTGTTTGGTACGTAGATTATTTTAGAAATCCTGGGAAAGTGGGGTGGGGAAAAATATTTTCTAACATTTGGTATGAGGAAACTGTAAATATTCCCGAAAAACTTTTTTTTACCGTCTTTTCAAATTTAACTGCAAAATTCCAAACGAAAATATTATATGATACATGGTATTTCTATTTTTCCACATAATCAGTATAATTAACCCAACATTTCTAGAAAAATTTTAGACCTACCAAACACTTTTTCGTAACTTACTCGGGAAAAATATTTCTATTATATTTCCACAAATCTTTTTTTCCCGGTAAAAAAAATATCTCCTATACCAAACATTCTCTAAAGCCAATTAATATATTTACACTTAGTAAATCTTCTTCTTTTTTTCGTTTTTTCTCCGATTAATGTAAATAAGTTATTTATATTCAGGCCAAAATGATGTCGTTTTGGAGCGAAAATTAATATATTTTTGTAATTATAATTTATTTCAGGGTTATAATAGTCATTCTCATTATAATTTTTAAATTTTTTAACTCAAAACGATGTTGTTTTGGGAGTGAATGTAGATAACTTATCTACGTTTACTTTAGAAACATTAAATTAAAGCCATATATATAAACTCAGCAAAAAGGGCAAAAAACAATGGGTTTGATGTGACATAAGTTATGTCATTTTAGGAGAGAGATAGACACAAGAAATGAAAATTATGGGGAGAAAATGGGTGATTTTTTTTTTAATTTAAATTTTAAATAAAAAAATTTTATTTTGTGTCTGCCTCTTTCTTAAAATGACATAAGTATATGTCATTTAAATTATCATTAAATTGTTATCAAAAAAAAAATTATCATTAAATTATCATTATTAGCAACGAGAAAGGGAAAAAGTCAAAGAAAAATTTGAAAGTTTATAATTTTGAACAGGATGAGATGTCCAGCAACGGTATCATAAAGGAAACAAATAACGAACTCGTTAACTACCATGTAACCTGGCAGTTACATGTTTCAGTTTTGTTAACAGTTAACTTCTTTTCCATAAGTCTCTCTCTCTCTCTCTCTCTCTCTCTCTCTTACCCCACAGCGTCAAAACCAAATAACTTTTGATCACCAATACTTCAAACACCACACAATTTTCATTCTTCCTTTTTGGTTTTGTAGCATGCAGGTAAAAGGTAATACAGAAATGAAAAAGTAAAGAAAGAAAAGAAAAGAAAAAAAACCCTCTTGCATGTCATGCATGATTGCCAGGTGAAAGTGTTATCTTTATTTCGTGATCACTAAGTTTACATTTATATGTTTTGAAAGAGTAGCCATCTTAATTGGTTATGTAATGTACACACTATGATATGATTGTCTAAATAGCCTTCTTTGGTCATTGGGAAGATGGTAACTATAATAAATAGTGTGCCAATGTACCCATCTGTTACTTATTGAATTAGTTGTTATGCTTTATATGCCGTTTGTAATAAAGTGCTCTGCATATACATAGTGTTTTGGAGGTTCTGTGAATTAACAATTTATGCAATTGCTTTGTGTTGTTCTGTCTGTTCTGTTCTGTTCACCAGAAGTCTAGAACTCTCTGCATGATACTGCATGTTTACCTTTCATAAAATTGGGTAATGACATGTCACATATGAAGTAAAATATGATAATTGAAAATTTCTATTGGCACTATTTGCAACACTAATATGATATTTTGGTTATTATTAATTTCAATTCACTGACAAATTGAAGATGCTTTAATATTCAAATTCATAGTGTGCATACTCATCATCTGTTTAATTTCTCCAATTTTGTTATGTTAGCCTCATTGTTACACCATGGTAAATTTAT